GAGTAAATAAAGGATATTAGATTAATTATTTATAACGAAAGATACTGCAAATTAAATTGGCGAGTTTTTATTTAACAATCCAGAGATCGTACCCGAAGGTTTTAGAAAATAATCGAGGTTGATTTAGTAAAATCGTAACAATACTCTGTTTACACCAGAGAACATAAAACTCGCTTCACATAAAGCTTAAATCGCGTTCGTAAGTTGGGCGATCTCTTTTTTTCCGTGATGAGAATTTCAAAATATGTGTTCCATTGTTCCTACTTGCAGACATTTCCACAGATGTTGAATGTAAAAAAGTCCCTATTGTGATTTGCGTGATGCGTGATTTAAATTAATACAGCGTGTGATGTAGGTATAAAAGCGAGTATAAATGTATTTATATTTTTTATTATTATGTAACTTATTGAATGCTTGTATTATATTTATATGTATCTTTATTGACATATATGTATGCATGTTTCTGTGCATACAAATATACAGCATATAATGCTTATGATAGACTCATTACATTAGTATATATATTAGTATATCTGTATGCATAAATATGTATCTACTGCTGCATATTAACGATTAAATACACCTTAGACAATATGTAAGTATGTATGTATGTAATGCAGTTGCTCATTTATTTTATGTATATTTTATTTTTAATTATATTTTTTAATATTGAAATACTTTAACTAGTGGCGTTTAGTGGTAATTATTGCATACTTGAGAGTTAATTAACAGCAAAGTTTTATTCTTGTTTTCGCTTATACTAACGGGATATACGTGTATTTATATACATACTAAATATATGACATACTCACAATTGCATATGCTATATATTTATGTAATAGAATGCCGCAACTTGTATTCTTATGTAATTACCATTATTATTTTACAAAATATTAGATATTTATTACTTTTCAGTTTAACTTATTTATATATTATAGAAGATAATATTTTACTTTTTCAATTAAACTTTTATTTGTATTTTAAGTTTTTTTTGCGTACTATAGTGATTCTTAATCGTTCATATGTCTGATTCAGGGTTTTTTGCCCGTCATATTTGCAAATCAGTTTGCGTGGGAAAAGCCACAGCACCAAGCATATTTATAAAAAAAAAAAAAAAAAAACCACCATTAAAAAAATGTTTGACGCAAAAAAAAGGAATACAAATTTTTAATAAAAAAAAAAAATAGTTTGAGGCAAAATTTTTAACATATTATGTAATGGAAAGTTGTTTGAAAAGCGTCAAATATATGCATATGAAAACATATTTTCTATGCCTTGTGAATTCATATCATAATTATCAACAAATTGTTTATTCCAAAAAAAAAAAAACGAAAAACCTTTAATCCATTATTACTAAGCCCGAATTTTTTGTGATTAATTTGGAACAAAAGTATTATATTCAAGCATATATTTAGGCGTAAGAAATTTATAATTGCTTTATACAAGCATTAATGAAAGTAATATATTATATTTATAGTAATGACTTCTCATTTTCTTTATTTTTGTTTTTTTTTTTAGTAAAAGGAATATCCGATAAGGCTAATTAAGCAACCTACAAGCACCTAAAGTGCATTGTCGCATTCAATTGAGCACCAAATATAAGCTGAATTGTGACAAATGCATACAAAAGGTGTACGGGCGGAACTGGTGTAGCCGATAGGCGTTTGCGTGTATATAACAAAAGTAGGACTTGAAAAGTGCGAGGAGACGTAAGGATGCATGGTTGTTAGATTCATTATTTTTCGATTTTTTTAAACCATAGAGTACTTAGTAATCGATTACTTATGTATATTTAGATTACATGAATATATACTGAGTGAATTTCAATATACAATACATATCTTTTTTAGTTGTGAGCAAAATTTAGAATGTGTTTCACGGTGTGTGTGTGTATTAATTTTTCTGCATGTCTATTAAAAGATGCCTAAACACTATATATAAATATATATATATTCCAAACTAACTATTTGAAATAAATTCAACAACTTTTGGAGCTTTCTTGAGTACTTTATGTCTTAACAGTGACCCTGTAGTTTTTTCGTGAAATGTAATTGTGTACGTATTTATCCTTTCAAATATGTAACCTTTTTTTTTTACTTTTCAGTATTTTTTTTTTTACTCAATCAATTAAGTCAATTTATATTCATTATATGTACGTAATATTAAACATTACAAAAATATATATTTGTGTTTGTGTGTACGAGGACAGAACGATAAGTATTTTGCTTCACTGCTCATTTCTTTTTCTACTTTACTTTACTCTCATTTCCTTATGTAGTTGTATATCGGTGAGACTAAATGTACTTATCGGTATACCCTCGTATGTGTGTATAAGGTAAAGACTAATTTTCAGCATGAAAACAATACAAGAGATTACAAAATAAGCACAAACTAAACATAAATGGTTTATCTTTTACATATATGGTAATATAGTATTATGAATAAGATACATTCTAATCAAACTTAAAATAATACCCAATAATTTCGTTTCTATGTAAATATATAAAGATAAAAGGTTTGCGAAAAAATATCGAGAACTTCTTAAATGAGAGGAAATGTGTAAAAATATTTGTAAGATTTGTAACACAAATGTTTACATGTAACAAGAAAATTAAACGTTATTAGAGCATATAACTAATGCTCATTTTGTTGGTATGTTTGTGGATAGCATTTCATACAAGCACTGCTTTGTCTTTTCTTTTTTGCATTTTTATGCATTTTGCTGTAATTTTGTGACTAATAGGAATGCAATGCTGAGCCGTGCTTTGCCTTATCTCCGGGCAAACGGAAGCAGCAAGAGCAGTTAATTCGTGATAATTTCGCATGAATTCATATTTTTTATTGCATATGTATGTTTTATTAATCTTATTGTTACTGCTGCTTTAGTTGTTGTGATAATTTTTTTTACTTCTTTCCTTCTCATTGTTTACACCTGCTTTACTCTATATATGTGTGCATGTATATACTACATGTGTCACATAACTCTACTGTTGCGCTTGAATTTTCGCCTGCATTTGTGCCAACATCTCTTGCATGCGTCGCAGTTCAGCTTCTTTCTCTTGTAGTATTCGATCTTTCTCCGTTATAACGCTGCTGGCTACAATTTGCGCTGGCATCATGGAATCTCGCTCGACTTTCATGCCATTTTCCTTGCGTCCGCCCTTGGCCAAGCGCTCAGAACGGTAATTTTCATAGTGCACCTCCTGGGTAACCTCTTGCAAGTCTTGCATGTGGGTGCTGTAAGGAGGCAAAGAGGATGAAATAAGTTAACAGTTTTAGTTGTACAATATAACCTAATCGCTTAAGTATTTCTTTTCGCCTCGCTCATCGCAACTTACATCAACATTGTGCGTAATTTAATGAAATCACAGTGCTCGGGATTCTCCACCTCGACAACACCCCACGGATATAAGCGGCCGCGCACTTTTTTACCCTTAACCTCGAGCAACGTGTTCGCACCGCAGACCGCAAATGGCACAGCCTCTTTCAGCTGTTTCACTTGCTCTTTATAATCCTCATCCTCATCGGAATCACAATCGGGAAGTGGATAGATTTTAATGCCGTGATCTTCGATCTCTTGCATAATACGACATTTGAGGCGCAGAATCTCCTTCTTGGTGAGGCAGTCGGCTTTAGCGATCACAGGCACTATATTCACTTTTGAGTGTAACTTCTTCATAAACTCCACATCTAGTGGTTTGAGGCTGTGTTGCAGAAGAAGGTATTAGTTTACAATTTCATATTATTTTACATATACATTTTTTCTTACCCATGCCCGAAAGGCGATATAAAATAGAAACAGCAGTGTATACGATTGTCCACAATATTGCGGCGATTGAGTCCGCTCTCATCGCGCAAAAAGCGTTCATACTGCTCATCTATGTACTGCAATATGGCACTGAAACTATCCGAATTATCGATTGCGTCACCGAAGCCGGGCGTATCGACAACCGTAAGGCGCAACTTGACGCCACGCTCTTCAATCTCAACAGTGGATGCCTCCAATTTCACAGTCTGCTTTTGTTTTTCTAAGTAAAGTGACGAGTATAAACGAATAAAACCTAGTAAAAGTCATAAATTGGCACACAACACACTCACCGATGGCATCCGGTATCACGCGCTCCGGATACAGATCTGTTAGGAACAAACTGTTTACCAATGTTGACTTGCCCAGACCCGATTCGCCGACAACCATCAACGTAAATTCGAAGCCCTTTTTCACCGATTTACGGTGTACCTGATTTGGCAGATTGGCGAAGCCGACATAGCCGGGTGTTTCAATACTCGAGAACTGCAAGTGGAAGAAGTGAAAGAGGTGAATACAAAATAAAAAACAAAGAAAAAAATGTTGGGTGTGAAATCAAATTGAATGTTAAAAAGTTTTGTAATTAATGCCTTGACTCAAACAAGCATCCACTAAAAGAATTATTGTTGTTGTTTTCGTACTGTGGTCATTTTTATGTGGTAAGTCGGTGGTCGGCGGGCAGTTGTTGGCTCATAAAACCGCACTGAAAACGTGCCGCCGCATGGGTGACGAGTTTTAAACACCAATTGCACTGCACACAAAAGCGAAAAGGGAAATTCGAATGCAAAATCTCAGCGAACAATTTGACTGGGGTTTGGTTAGATGAGTCGTTTTTAATTTTAGCTTTAAACAGACTATTACAAGCAAACGAGTGTTAAGCTCATACAAATGCAGAGAAATCCACAAGCCAATTGATTTATATCAGAAAATTTTCAACGAAATCCTCCTTATAAAAATCTATCAGCCCCTTTCGGAGGTGACTTATAATTGTATGTCCATTTGAAAAGCCTTTAGCTGTACGCAACAAATTCGCGAAGGGCGCTGCTGAAAATCTACTCCTCGTATCTGCTGAGAGTCTGTGATTGGGTCACCTCGATCAAGGGTCTATTGTGTGCTCTGAGACTTTCACATTACTTCAATCAATCATCAATCAAAGCCCTTAGAAATCATAGTAGGCTGAATGGGTTGATTGAATTGACATAGGTTGTGATTAAGTTGGCTAGAGTGCTTCTCTGCTGTCCCGATGCAACTTCGCAGCGAAAATAGTCGTAAAGGCAACAAGCAGAAAAAATAAGTACTTAATAGCATGTATAGTGTAGAAAATGACACCGAAAGCTGTCGAGCGGCTGGCTTTCTATGAGAAGATTTGTGGTCACATTAGAGGGCATTAAGGGTATTAAGTAGTTGTAGTTGAGTTTCATTGTTTGCTGATGGCTTTGTTTTGATATCAGTTACATGAATACACGGTTTGTAAATTGTAATTAACTAAAATTGTTTGAATTAACGAAGGCTTATTAGGTTGCGCTCAGTTACCGGTGTTAAAAAAAAATTTTTGGTTTTGGCACTTGAGTGGGTGTTAAATTTTAAAACGCGCTAGCTTGAAAAAAAACATATAAGAAATAAAATATTTAATAGAAATATAGTGTTTGCTGAGCAGATAAAGTTGTAAAATTGTCTTTCTCCATTTTAAATAAAAATTTGTTCTCATTTGCATTATTGATTAAATTCTTAGACTATGTCTCATACTTAACTACACATCTCTGTGCCGTAATGCATCATTCGGAAGGCCTGCTTGTAATCACAAATGCGAAATTCATTATAAAATAGAGACTATGTAAATAGCAACTGAAAATATGCCATTTCTCAATTACTTTTGCACACTTGGGCAACAGAAAACAAAGTGTAAGGCAACGAAGTGACTCAGACATCATTAAAAATGCGCGTATTTTTATTTCCAGCTTATAAACATGCTAAAACAGCAATTCGCCTCATCTGCAACTAAAAATTTCACTCAATGAAAAGTTTTGATAAAAAAAAAAGACAAATATGTATGTATGTACAGAAGTATACAATTAACTTAGCACAAAAAATAAAAGCAAATGAAATATAAAAAAAAAAGAAAAAAAATACTCTAATTTACTTCAGTAAAAAATTTTAGTCGCCAAAAAAATTTAAATCGAAATTTTTTTTACATATTTTTTATGAGTTTTGCTGTTATGGCATATCAACGCTTCTTAACCGTTGGAATTTTTGCTTTCGCAAACCCCAAACGATAACAAATTGTAACGCGTGCTGTGCATTTCAATGACAACAAAATGTTTTGCGTCCCAACCACACACTTGTTGTCGAGGCTTTCTTTACAGTAAATTTTATATCAAGCAAAATCATTGAAAGCATCAACAAAAGTTTAACTCAAACCCCATGGAATAAATAGCAACGGAAGGGCAAAGTAGGGGAATAGCAAAGTGAGCACATTCAACTATCGCATGAGCAACCAGAGTCGTGTTTTATGGCCGACTTTCTCTCACAAATTCGTAGAAATAGATAGCTCAAGGTCAAAGGGCTGGCAGATTTTTGATTAGCTTTCATTTCAGTTCGAAAAACATGCAGTGGAATTCCCTATGGAGCGGTGAACGCATCATACATATTAGCATGACTAGTGCTCGAACCCATGACCCACAGTCTCATAGCATGCCCTACAATGCACTCGGCTACTGCCACCGCTCAATACAAAGTAAATTCTTACACAAAGAAAAGTACATCACATCAGCGATGAAGACATAATTTACACGCTTTATAAATGGAGACAATAAGAAGAAGAAAAAAGCAAACGAATGCAAAAACATTTTCAAGACTTGTAGACAAGCAACTAAATTGCATTGCTAGCGGCGGTATAAATTTCTACATTGCCATTCAGAATTCTGAATTAATAATTCAACATTTAACACAATACTCTCGTCGGTCGTTCGTCCAAATGATTTGAGATTGGCACGCCACAAGTTACAGAGCAGTTGGGACGGCGGACAGCTTTTTTTTACAAGCGCATTTGCCGACAGCAATGCACTTCCAGCGAGTTTTCAACTTACGGGTACACTTATGTACATATGTATGTATCTACATACGCTACTAATTGTTTAAATTTTTGCTGTTGTGGCTCTGTGGGGCTGCTCCGCACTTGTGGGTGTTGCAGTAGCGTTCTAATTCGACGTTTCTCCTACTACACGCCGCCACCAGCTCTTCATTGCGCGAGCATGTTTTCACATACACACTTACGTAAAGAACGGGGAAATTTTTTCTTTTTAATTCTTTTATTTTATTAATGAGTTTTTGCTTTGCTGCTGCTGTTGTTGCTACTGTTGTTGTCGTTAAGGTGATTGAACTGTCTGCCCAGCACTTGTCAAACGAACATTTGCCAGCTTATTGAAAGTCTACTTTTGGAGAAGAGTAGAGACGAGGCGTTAAAATAGTATATGGCAGGCAAATTAAGGTTATAACAGCGTAATTGTGCATAATTGAATTTAATTTGGAATTCCTACAAAGAAAGAAATTAATAAAAATAATTACTTTTTCAATAAGTAAATCATTAAAACTAAACCAATCAAATGAAATAATTATTAAAAAAAAAAAAAACAGAGATAAAAGCTCAACTCATTTATACCTTTTCAATGTTTTTATTTCTATTTTCGTGGGCATTGACCCCCACAAAAATTGTTTGTACTTTCCTTCCCTGTCTTACATGCAACTATAAACAGCATCCGGCGTATTAGTAAGAAAATAAACTACAGTTGCAGTTCATTTTAAGTGATAAATAAAAGCCGCTTAACGGTAATGTCATTGATAGTGATTTAGCCAAAATAAAATGAAGATTAAGTGGATTTTTCAGTGATTTATAAGATTTCTTCTTACTTTGAATCTTTATGTATATTTTTTTTCATTCTTCATTTCCCCGTCATATTTTTATAGATATCTCTGAACGTATTTATTTACCAACGTGCTTTAGTGTTGTTTTCTTACTGTAAACAATCGGTTTAGTAGGTATTTTCTTTGAATATTTACACTTTTATCAACAGATAAGTTTATTGTTTTGTGCACTCAATATATTATGTCGTTGAGACTATTTTGAGAGTTTGAGAGAGTGCATTAGAGACATTTTATTATTATTTTCTTTTTTATAGTGAATTTCCAAATAACCCCAAAATCAAGTAATATAAAATGTGAATAATTAAACTACATAATTTTTTCCAGTTACTTATTTCTTTGTTTTTAAGTCAAAAACCCAACTGGGATAAATTCTAAAAACTGCCCTTTGATGTTGCTCATTTTTTCAAAGAATAAAACAAAAGCACACATTGTATTAACTACAAAATATGGTCCAATTGTTGAATCAAACACCTTCAAAAACACATGCTGACCGCTTTTGGTATGAGTTCAATTGTTTTCGCATTCATCTAAGGGTTGGATTTTGTGTTTGGAAGCAGTGTAGTTTCTTTATATGCAGATTTTAATCAACATTTACTAACGCTTTCAACATTTACCTCCTTTGTGTTGTCCTTTTGAAAATATTCCATTCATATACATACATATACATAAATGCATACATATGTAGAAGTATTATTTGATGAAAACATTCAAATGAACATTTCAAGTTTTACTTAAGTTTTTTTTCATTTATGAAGATCATCCGCAGAATATTTACTGCCAACACCACAACTTGCATGTATTTATATTACTATTCTTTATGCCCATTATTGAATTCCATATTCCTGCACACATTCTTTATTTATTTGCTTTCTCGTAAAATATTTATAGTTTAAACCAGCTTAAACTAAAAGCGACAATGTGCGAAATATAGGCAGAAATTTTTAAAACACAACAGAAAATGAAATGAAGACTTGTACTTGTGTATAACCGTGTATGTGTATGTGTATGTTGGCCTCGGAATACGACTTTTGTGTTTGCGCTTTGCAAGCACCGAGAACAAACACATGAGCAATACCACACCACATCCACAACACCAGGAACGCTTACTGCCACCGCCAGTGAGGCAAGTCGCTGTCAAATTGACCTGCTGCAACGAAAGCCGCGCCCTTGAATGACTGTTTCATTTGTGTGCTTGCAGCGAATGTTAATATGATTTTATAAATGAATTTGATCGAAAACAATCACCATATCTCTAGCCTCGAACTCACGTATTTAATGTTGTAATATGTTGTGTTCTCCAATATACTTACCGATTTGGTATCAGACATTTTGCTTGAATTTCTAAGACGATAGTTGTCCTTTATCGTTCCTTTTCAATAGATGTTTTTAAATATTTTTTACATATATTTACACAGTCAATAATTTGTACGTATATTTCTTCGATAATGAAAGAAAACAGAACGTGTAATAACCGCGACGTTTTATTGCAATTTATCAGCGTATACGGGCTGATTCAACGTACTCAACAAAAAAAAAAGAACAATAATCAAATTTCATATATTAAGCGTTGCGGTTACTGCAATGTACAATCGGTTAACTTCGACGTCGACGTCAGCGTTAATGACAGCAAATATTCTTGTGAAGCAGACAAAATAAAAGGAGCAAACGAAACTGTGGCGATGTATAGCACGTTGAGCCAAATATACCACAATGTATGTGGTGGCTGAGTTGTTGATTCGCGTTACTGTTTATGCTGCCGCGGCTGACGAAGTTTCTCTGCCCTTGTTTATCTTGCTGCTTTATTGCCTTTATGTATATGCGTGTATTTATTTAATTTCAATACTACTTTTTTGCCACTTTCACGTCGGTTTTTCTTTTGGCTTTTGAATTTCTCCACTAGCGAGGTGTGCGTGTGCAAAATAATAATTAAAGTGCAAATTATGAACACAATGTTTTTTATTGCACTTAAGCGTAGCGCACACAAATGTACTTAATCCACAAAGAAGCAACAGTAATTAATAACAGCTAAATATATACACATACACACAGCCACGCACGGAAAATGCATTAAATACCTAAAAATCGCCGGCAAAACTCGCAAACGGTTGCATTTCAACTGAAATTTTACAGCGCGTAGATAGAACAGAGAACGTAAATATTTACGTTCTCTGGATAGAACGTTTGTGAATGGTTTGAAGAAACAAGTGAAAGGAAAACAGTAAAAGATTGCCACAAGAATCGATAGTGCGAATAATTATTGTAACCTTAACGAAAGAACGTATATTAATATACGTTCTTTGCTTTTTCTAAGCAAATTACAATTAAGCATTGTAAGGGAAATCGAAACCTTTCTAAATAAACAACGATATAGATGTATCGGATGAGAAATCAATTTTTTTATTAACAGCCACCGCAAATATTTTAAGGACCCCTCTGGCAAAGAACGTATACGAACAAAACTATTTAAATTATTGTGAATCAACACTCCAACATCAAACAGATGTTTTTGCTTTGTTTCTATGTATGCTAAGCTGTATTTTATTGTTATATGATTTGTTTTGGTTTTGTGCGTTAACTTTGTGTATTCTGAGCAAAATATCTGGAAAATATTGAAATACAATGCGTTTTAATCAGATATTACGTGTAAACCTCTCTAGAAACAATCTTATTGCAAAACAACAGTATGTCCCTAAGCATAATCCTGTGCTGGAGGAGGATATCAAACGGTTGCAGGAGTTTCTAATGTCTAAACCCAATATAGTTGTGTTAACTGGTGCTGGCATTTCTACAGAATCTGGTATGAAAGCACATAAATTAAATGAGAAAAAATGTTTTATACTAAATTCACAACTCATCACTATAAACAATGGTAGGAATACCCGACTACCGCTCCGAAGGTGTTGGCCTATATGCACGTACAAATCACAAGCCCATCCAGCATATGGAATTCCTGCGCTCAGCCGATGTACGTCAGCGTTATTGGGCTCGTAATTTCGTTGGTTGGCCATCGTTCTCCGCAACGGTACCTAATCATACACATTATGCAGTTGCACGTTTCGAACGTGAAGCACGCATACAGGCAGTTGTGACACAGAATGTTGACCGGTTGCATACTAAAGCCGGTAGCAAGAATGTTGTTGAACTTCATGGTAGCGGCTATGTTGTGAAGTGTTTGACATGCGATTATCGTATTGATCGGCATGAATTTCAGGATATACTAAACAGTTTGAATCCCGAATTTCGTGATGCGCCCGATATGGTACGTCCCGATGGTGATGTGGAGATACCAGTTGAATATATAAAAAATTTTCGCATACCTCCTTGTCCGGAATGTGGCGGTAATGTAAAGCCAGAGATTGTCTTCTTTGGCGATAATGTGCCTAGGCAACGCGTTGATCACGTCACAGAAATGATTTATAATAGTGATGGATTACTGGTGCTCGGCTCTAGTTTGCTGGTATTTTCTGGCTACCGCATGGTATTGCAAACAAAGGACCTCAACTTGCCGCTTGCAATTGTGAATATTGGGGAGACAAGGGCAGATCGTTTGGCAGATTTAAAATTGTCTGCTAAGTGTGGCGATGTGCTACCAAAGTTATTTAATTTTAAAAATTAAATATAATTAATGTTAACGGCTAAGGGTTGTTTATGTATTTCATTAAGTAAATTGTATGCGTAGTATATGTGCAAGTTGCATATGGGTATGTGTATTTATTATTTTATTTTTTAGTTTATAGTCTGAAGAATAAAATTATTTGAGGACTTTCTTCAGTATTTATTAAAAACTCAAAATTTTTCCACTAAAAAGCTTATCCTATGTATTAACCAAGAATTATGACAGTTAACCACAATCCTCCTCTTCCTCGTCGTTATTCACATACTCGCTCTGATTACGGCGCTTAAACTTTTTGATCGGTGGCTTCGTAGACGTAGTATTTTGCTCCACAAATTCAGCTGCTTCTTCTGCATTTCCTTCCATCTCGAGAATGTCTTTCTCTACTTCGTCGTCCAATATCAATTCATCGGGATTTTTTACTTCCTCACTCTCGTTCAGTAAACTATCGACCTCTGCTATGGGTTTTGGCAAATTAAGACTCATACTACTTTTTCGTTTAAATGGACTAAGCTGACAAGGTGATAGCGCATCAACTGTTCCGCTTGACATATTCATGCTTGATTGTTCGGTCTGTGTGGAAGTAGCTGAGTCATTAAATTCCGTATCTGTACTTTCATTTAACGCACTAGAGTAATTGAGCTCGTGACCGCCAATTAATAGCACCAGGCTGACGGGATCATCTATGCCTAAAGCATCACAGAATTGTTGAGTCTGTGGGTTAATTTGAGCTTTCGGCTGCGGCACATGCCCACTATTGGCTTCACTGGCATTGTAGGGTTCAACTGTGCGCACAAAGTTTTTTGGCACAAACAAATCTGCGGCAAATTTATTACGCACATGTTCCATTTCGTCACGTGTAGGTTTAAAATTGTACCGTTCGTTACTGGCGGCATTCTGCGGACCTGGCAGATAGTATTTGGAAGTTTTTACATTTGTCAAATGATTAGTTAGGTATAGTATTGTCAGCCATTCGAGATCGTATTCCATACGCAGTTCACCTTCTGATAAATGTGGAGTTTCAATGTCGAGTATTTGTAAAAAGCGTCTTTTAGGCAAACATTTATCCAAAGCAAGAAACTTGGTGATATTTTCAACCTTATCTTCCGGAAATTTATTTTCCTTACATTTTTCTTCTTCATAATTGACATCATCTCCTTCGCTGCTACTATCATCCGCTTCGTGTGGCACAACCGCAGCAAATTTGCAATGCAAATGTGCTGCAAACCAATACTTCGGTTTCAGCAGTTTCAGCAAATCCTCACAAGGTCTACTGCCCAATTGACCTTTATCCATTTCATCACGAAAATGTGGTTTGAAACGTGCCAACTGAGATTTATTACCGTAATTATAAATGCCTCGTGGCCAATCATGTGACATAAAAATGTCTATCGTGCCAGTCAACTGCTTCAGGCGAAACACTTCCAACTGTCGTACATGATAAACGCTGGTGCGTGTGCTATCTGAATAGGGCGCAAATTCAAACCGGCCACGTAAATAGTCGTGACCTTTGTAAATTCCCGATAAGCCTGCAATGCGTATGCCATTTACATTTACCACGCCAGCATAACCCAAGTAGTAGATATTCGGTGCTACCCAGCCACCATAGGGTAATTCCTGCAGATAATTGGACGCTTCATGATTACCTCCTATGAAAATCGTAAGTATAGGTGCAACTAATTCACCGCTGTAGTATCTATGTAAGCATAAAATACAAATTTAAAATTTTTTTTTTTAGAATTATTGCCGGTTTTGTACTCACTTGTAAAACGTACAGATATCTAAGTATTTTTGTGGGACCGCCATCGTTTGCAGGTCTTCAAGATTTCGTGTTGCTTGAAAATCACCACAACATAACAACAAATCAACTTTAAAACCCTCTTCATTTTCCAGGCACTGAATTGTTTCGTAGATCTTCTCCAGCTCACCATGAGCACAACCTTCAACTGCTACTTTCATATTTTCCGTGTATATAACAGTAAACAGCAAGTTTTTACTTAATTTTGTACTAAATAACGAAAATGCAGTTTTTTTATTTTCGTAAAATTTATTTTAAATAAAAACTGTCCCTATTTTGCCTATTTCTATGTCTGTATACAATTTTATTTATTTTATTCAATCATTTCAAAGCCTAGTCCACAGGCTTAGGTGAATTCGCCCAGAAAAAAGCAATTTTTTTTTCAAACAAAGTGTGTTCAATTAACGCCAATTCAAATATCTCTAGCTGAACATATATTAATCATATGTTTTATTCATAAGGCCGGTTGTTGCTAATGTTTTAGTGTAGTGAACACTATTATGAAATTTAAATAAAATAATAAAATTGAAAATTTCAATAGAAAAATGAATTTTGCACGTCTCATATTCGCCCGAAGTACTGGTGGTACACAAACATTAACACCGAAGGTGACGGCTTTCTACTATCGCCAATTTACTTGTGCCAGTGTGCAGCGTGCAGCACATAAACCTCTAACGCAATTTGAATCAAAACTTGAACGATTCGAGCTGAAGTTACCTGCACCCTTGGCACATAGTCGTAAAGTGACACAGCAAGCTAGTGTCGGCGCTTCGGTCGCGCAGGTTTTAAAGAAAAGAACGGTGCGCAAGAAATGGGATGATAACGTCTTTGAGGACCTATCCGCTGAGGGTTTCTTCAACGTGTCGGCCTTTACGACTGCTGAGGAATATGACTTGGAAGCCTTAATGAAAGGCCTAACCGAACAAAATTTGTATGCCGTTAAGAAATACTTTTCCACAGATAATCTCGGCTTGGAACAAAATGTGCTCTATGCCTCAGCGAAATATCCGGTGGGCAAGGAGGCGCGTGATATAATATTCTTTCGTGAAGGTTCAGTAGTTTTATGGAATTTCAATGAAATAGAAACAAATAATTTGCTGTCATTTTTACGGCCATACGAGAAGGATGCATACTTAAGTCCGCTGGTGCGTGGCGAAAGCGAAGTGATGCCATACATGTACATTCCATCATCTGCTGTTGATGTTGAAGGTGATTTGGTATCCGCGTCGGATACGGAGGTGGCACGCGCTTTCTTCCACAACGGAAAATTTTTTCTTGCATCTGAAGGTGACAACTTCCTACAGAAATACACTTTCTCCAACGCTATGGCTACGTCAATAAAATTGGGTATGTGGGAAGCAATGCTCGATCGTTATGTAGACTCCATTGAATATCTCACAGATGATCTAAAGCGTGGACGACGCATACGCATGTCGCGCGCAGAGGTTTTGCGAAAAACAGGTGAATTATTTGCCTTGCGACACGAAATAAACTTGGCATCAGATTTGCTAGACACGCCAGATTTCTACTGGGATCGTGAAGAGTTAGAAGCATTGTATCTGCAAGTTTGCTCATATTTCAGTATATCACGGCGAACAAAAGTGATGAACGAGAAGATAAATCACTGTGTAGAATTGGCAGAATTAATATCGCATAATTTGAATGATGCTCATCACATACGTCTGGAATGGATGATTATTATACTGATTATGGTAGAGGTTGGATTTGAAATTGTCCACTATATGGATCGTTACTACAGCAAAGAGGAGGGTGCAGTGTTGACGCATTGATAAACAGACGGCTGTGGATGGGGTAGGGTATGCAAGACCTTAATTCAAATAAAAAAATGCATTTAAACTAAAACATGTGAATAGAGCTGTTTATATTTTTTGCTAGGCAAATAAAGTTTAAATTTCATTTTTATAAATATGTTTCGCCCTTACCTTGCAATAATTGCTAGAATTTTGAAACAAACTACTAGAAAAACTCTTATAAAGTTGGTAATAATAAAATTTATTAAGAAAAAAAAAAACAAATTTTCTTTAACATATAAAATTTTCAACCTTTGCATATGCTTCAACATGCCGCTTGTAAATTTGTATGGTGCGTTCAGTCATTCATTTACTAATGATAATCAGCTGTTTTATTTCCCAGCTTGTGCAAGTGCAATTGTTCTGGTGAAATATTTAGAAAAATATTCACTTGAAATAATTTTTTGTACAAAATGCAATTGACGTTAATAAATTTTTTCAAGAAAACGGTGCCTGGTCACATTTTCCGTGGGAAACGGCGTCTAATAAAACCCGTGAGTAAACGCGCAATGGAAACGCTACGACGTGATTACGAAAGACAGGAGCAAAATATGTTATGGCTGCGGCATCCATATTTGAGTGTAGTATGTAATCTTACAAAATAATGTTTTGTAAAACATTTCGATAATATTTAATATGTGTTAACAGGAGGAATCATCAGGCCATACAAAAGAGTTGGGTAAGGCGGCAGCAAAGATTGCAATGTGGAATGATCGGCATACACTGGGCACAATGAAACCGCACATAACCATAGAGGAGCGTCTAGCGCATTTAAAAGTAAAAGAGGCTTGGGATTAAATAATAAGAGGCTTTTGTTCATATAAATATTACATTAATAAATAAAATGTTGAAAACATCAAAACTCTTGGAAGTCACTTCTTCGCTTTTAGGACAATATAAATTTGGACCAAAATATGTCTCAATCTCAGTTAGCCACTTTATTTTATCTTACTGTAAAACAGACCTTTCTTTTTATCGGCAATCAAAAATTTTAATCCCAAACCAAATCAAATGGTGTTTCTTTTTCTCTTTTATTAATAAATTGTTTAATACATAATATATTTTATATACGATTTTCTTATGCTCTACCAGATACAAATATCTATTTATTCTTTTTGCTCAGTTTCAAAGATATACTTCGATTTTCAACCATAAAATACATCGCGCAACGCGTAACATCTTTTCATTTACTCTTAAGAATCGAACATTTAGGATTAAAATATAAGAAATATTAATACAGGTTTTAATTTTGAAAATAAATCTCGAGGTGTTTATACAATATCAAACAAAAATGGAAAACAAAATTAAGTATGCACTTACGGACGTCAAGCACAGAAGTGCAAGTATGAATGTGTGTGTTTCTTTTTCATGTATAAAGAGTAATTAGTTAATACGAAGTGGAAGGGAACAAATGACCATTGTTCGGTGTCAACACATTTAATTTATCGAATGGACTCTATAACATTAAATATTGCATTTCCAGTTATGTGCATTTGCGTGCTGAACATCGCCGTAACGACAACTGAATCAAAGGCCCAGAAATATAATATTGATGATACTAATTATTTAGGATTGCAGCCAACAAACAAAAAGCCGAAAGACTAACTAGGCGTTTTGCTTTTTGAAGTATAGGCTTCAAGCACTTGAGACACTAATTGTCTGTTCTTTAAATGCTTCGCATTTTTCAATCCGCGCTTAATGGCGCTACAGTTTCACGTTTCTTTGTTTCATTCGTCTTTTCTACTTGGTTGCTTTCCGCGTTTGTGGCTGGATTCTCAATAGCTATTTCGGTGGATGCTAGCGACACTTCCGTCATTCCTTCATCTTCTGGTGTCCCTACACCTGGGAGGGGTTGCGCCTCGGCTGCTAGAAAATCCTCAACTCCTTCGGGTTGTGCAGTAAGCGCTGACGCGTTAGCACCCGCCGGTGGCAACGGTGGTGGTGTGGTGGAGAGCATAACCGGTGATGTGTTGGTGGCAGCGGCGCCGTCCCCAATACCGCGCTCAACTGGCGGTGGTGTGGTTGGTGATGTGGGTAGTGAATCAATTTGTTGGCTGAATTCCTGATTAGGACTTTCACGTGTGAATAATCCCATTTTACTTTCGGGCACTGCGCCAGTGTTACTGGAATCACTGTCCAGGCCGGCGTTGTTGATGCCACCTTCGCCACTGGGCATTGTGGGCGCTGCTCCAGAACCAGCTGCCATATGTGCCGAGGCATGTTGGGGATGATGTGCATGCACCATACTGGTATGTTGCTGCTGGCCTTGGTGATGGTAACGCGGTATGTCGGCCTTGCGCCAAAGAGTTATCTCCTGTTGTTTGAAGTACCGACGATCTTCTGTATCCATCAATACTAAATTTAGGAAGTACTTTACCGAGAATTTCTTATTTATATCACGCATGGTAGGCGTTAAATTGTAACCGGCAAGGAACACACGAATTGGTATGCTCTCACCCTTAACCGGTGCGCCATCCATAATCTCATACTTGGCGATCGTCTCGTTCTCAGTGAACATATTAGGACCGGTGCCAGTGGATTCACGTTTGATAATTGCAATTTCCATGTGCTTAATTTTAATGCGCACCAGCAAGAAATATATTTTGCCGATTATGGTATCTTTTAAATGATATTTACTTTTATTGTATTCGAACTCGATGTGCAGGCAATCCTCTATGCCCACTTCCATTTTGATAGGTGTGTTCAATTCTGGGTAACTACACAGCGTATGCACAGCAATGTCCACTTCACGTGTAATATCACTAATACGGCGTACAATTGTAGCACGCAAGAAATAACGTAGTCGTACATTCGAACCTGCGTATACCTCAAATTGCTTTTCTACGTTTTGGAAATCGAAAGGATAACTGTGATTTTGTATAAGATCACCCGGGCGTGCTAAAGCTTTAGTGATGCACTTGAACTCGTGATGATTGCCGCGATCATAAAATAACTCTATTTGTCCAATAAATTCAATTTTTATGCCTTGATGCTCCAATTTGCTACCGGGCTTCTTCAACGTCACATTCACCTGCATTCAAGTAAGAATGATTAAAAATTATTAATAACAGACTGCGGGGAATATCTACTAATAATAAAGGGAACTTAAATATTTTTACAAACGCAACACAATTTGCAAACAAACTCTTATATGCATATTTATCACATTTTCCATCACATCACAAACTAATTTCTACAGCATGACAACATATTACAATACATATTAAATAAATTTATAAGTCACTCCGATTGTATATGATGTAATTAATACAAAATGGTCAATCTCCATGATAGCCACCTAAGAAGTTGCCCGCTGTCAGCTCTACATACGCCACTAGCACCCCGTAAGCCTCTCGTGGCCTATACGCCCCCTTCTATCTAACAATACCACATCACTTCTAAACATATATACGTTTATAGAATCTACGAAATATTTTGGTAAATAATTTATGCACATGCCTTGCCCGACACTGTTTCGCCATCGTAATAAAGTAACATTTTTTCAATTTTTAAATCCTCTGCTTTGACCTCAGCAGTTTTCCTGGTTTCCGCACCGTCGAAAACGATATCGATCTCGGCCGATTGACCAAATCCGAGAAAGTTCATTGTTGCTGTTTGTTGCTTTTAGTGCTTCACTTTCCAAATTTATATTTTGTTATATGTTAATGAGTAGCGCCTTGGAATGTTTTGTGGATTTTATAAAGAAAATCACACGCACAAAAACAGAAAAACAAAAATTTATTGGGCGTTTGATTAAGAGCAGAAAAGAAATTCGACTTCGTTGCGTTTGATTAGTTGTAAATTTAGATAATTTTTGACAGTCGGTGTTGTCGACACTGCGAATACATTTTGTGGGGTAGAAATTGTGACAACATAATTATGGAAATGAAATAACTTTTATAATATTTTAAATAATTTAGAAATCCCTTCGCGTTTTAGTCAGGGTAGAAGTTTTTTGAATTTTTGGTTTTGTCATAGATTTAAGCAATTTTATTCCAATAAATGCCATAAATAAATAAATTGGTTTCACATAAGACAGCAATACAGCTCTGTCGACGATCACAGGGTGAACAGAAAGAAAATTGTTTGTGCTTTAGGCGTTACGGATAAGTTTTCACGAAAATTACATACATATATCTGATCCCTGTTCATAATTTTCGGTATTTCGAAATTCCCCAAACTTCAGCACGAAAATTTCGGTTTGGTTTAATTCGAGAACAGAAACAGTGAAGGTCTTCCAACACCTCTTCCATGCACGCACTTGCCGGAAAGCCGGAACTTCTCAATCCAAAGATCTTACACGTCATGTCTCACTGCCCTCTTAAATCATTTTCCCCATGGTTCCGGCATGATAGAATAGCTTGCTACTTGAAACTGTAGCGCTGAGGTGTTTTTGAGAATGTGCAGGAGATTCGAGCTTTTCCTGGGTAAATATGAGAAACTTCTACGAAATGAGCGATTTAATTTACATTTATTACCTTCAATGTCTTGAGTATTTGATATTTACATGCCAATCTAGATACAATGATACACAGTATATTCGTATACATATGTACATGTATTTTTGTGTTTGTAAAATAGTACATAATTTTTACATAATAGATACAATTTATTTTACATTTATTTAATTTTTATTTAATTTTAATACTTCGTTTTCTCTTTTATTGTTTAGAATAATGTTTGTATGTTTTGTTTACACATACATATGCATATACATATATATTTTTTAATTGTAATAAATACCAAAGCGTCGACAATAAGATAAATGCTTTCTAACAATCACAGGGCACCCGCGCCTTTTTCTCCTGCAACATGCGTGTCCACTCCAAGTGGTTATCTCCATTCTCAATATGCGAACGATGCAAGCGCTTGCCCTGACTAATCAGCTCAGCAAACTGTGCCACAACCGGATCATGACCAATGGACAACACAGAGATCACATTGCCGTGATCATCCAAATAATAAACAACGAATTTAAAGGCTTCCAGATCACCCTTGATCAGCACATCGCTAAACATACCATAGCCGGCATATCGTATGCCCTTACCGAAAACCATGGAAAAGAAGAATGGGACCGCGCGCAAGTCCTCAATAGTGCCGGTCATATTGAGTGCGGCCACACGGCCATGATACTTTGCCAATTGTATATGACCCACACAGCCGCGTTGATTCGCAGCAGCGAGTATGGGCGCATTGGCGATGTCGCCGCCCGCGTAGACATCCACGATGTTTGTCATCAGATGCATGTCGGTGTTGATGGAACCATCGCGATTGACGTGTATACCGGATTGTTCAAGGAAATTTGTGGTAAAAGTCGAACCAGTACCCAATACAACAACGTCGCAGGATAATTTACTTCCATTAGTGAGCTCCACTTCGTTGACAGCGCCCTCGCTGTTGCCATACAACTCTGTCAGTTGGCTGTGATTTTTCATGATTATACCTTTTTCACGATATAAATTGAAGAAAAGTTGACCGACGGCTTCACCGAAAAGTGCAAATGGATAGTCGCCCGAAAATATCAAAGTGACCTGCAAAGCAAAAAAAAAAAAAAAAACAAGTAAGAAAGAGCTACTAATTGTGTGACTCGCCCCAATGCCCACTTACCGTTTTGACTTTGCTAACTAGCGCCGCGGCCATTTCCATAGCAATAAAGCTGCCACCCACGCATACGAGATTTGTCTCTGGTGTTAGTGCAGCCGATATTGCTTTCGCATCTTCGTGTGTGCGTACCGTGAAAACATTCTTCAAATCAACACCCGGCAAGTTCGGTCTGCGGGCATTCAAACCAGTAGCAATAAAGAGTTGATCGTACTTGTACTCAGTACCGTTCGAGCAATGCACACGCTTGGCAGTTGTATCCACTTTGGTTGCCTCCACACCGAGCATCGTTTCAATACCGTATTCGGCATAAAAATCGGAATCGCGGTATTCCAATTTAGCTATAGGAAGGTCTAAGACCTTCGAAAGTTTTATGCGATCGTACGGCAAACAGGGTTCGCGACACAACATCACGATACGGCCGGAGAAGCCTTCCTGACGCAGCGTCTCCACACATACGGCCGCTGCGGGGCCACCGCCAATAACCACAATGCTATGCTTGTTATTCTTATCGCGTTTCACCATATTCTTCAAGCGCTTGTTCTTCTCCAGGTCACTGCGCTTGGCGCGCAACTTCACTTTGCCATCATTTTCGACGCGCACCATGAAACATGGCAGCGAGTCGAGACCGGGGAAGTCTTCAATATCACCCGTGCGTGTATTGAAACAGGCTCCATGCCAAGGGCAACGTACGCGTCCCAAGCCCAGTGCGCCAGTATGCAAAGGGGCGCCATAATGCGTGCACTTATTGCCGATCGCTGTTATCTGGCCCTCTTGTTTTATCACCAGTACTTGAGTGTTCTCATCGAAATTGAATTTTTTCATTTCATTCTCCTGCAGGTCGTCGATGTTGCAGACTTCCACAGCGTTTGTGTATTCCGACATGTCGGAATCGGAAGTAGACTGATAAGTGCCTGAAATCAGGAGGAAGAAAAAACAAAGAAATTAGTAAGAGTAAATAAGGAAGCGCATAAAAAAGGTGCAAGTAAAGAAGAAAACGCCAGCAGGGGGTGCTGGTTTTAAAGAACATAACGTGCACAGCCCACACAGCCCCAAGAGCTGCTATTATCAGAAGAGCACACGACCATAAAATAGTCCATACAGTCAGCAATGAAATTCAAGATTTCTAAAAAGTGGAGCGCAGTAAAACTCGGCGTCTCACAGACGTTGCTACGCATCAACAATCACCTGCAGCCACATTAACCCTTATCCACCGACTTGAAGTATAATAAAACGGATGATTTTCACAAGCGCAGGAGCTCGATGTATTGACCGCTGTGGAGATATTTACGGAACTGTTGGAACAACGCCGACGTATGGGTATTTTAAGCGAACGTTCGAGACAAAAAGTCATTGGCAAAGTGCTGACGTGACCAGAGGTGAGCTAAGGAGGTCGAAGCTGAAGGAGAGAACAGTTAGTAGACGTGCTGAACTGCAAAAATGCGTGTAGCGGTACTTGAATTCGCAAATGATTGATGGTCACGCAAAGAGGTGAAATGAGTTGGCTATCGATAATAAATATTTACTAAAGAAAATTACTTAATTAGTTCAATGCGATTCCAACTGATCTCATACATCCAACCCATCTGGTGTCCAGCACAGTTTTTCCTTCAGCTCTGATCCTACGAGTGATAAAAAAAAACCGGCTGTTGGTGAGCATTAAAGTCGAAACTTCAAATTAACCGATGGTAAAAAGACCAAGGTCTCCTGCATATAATTAGTGGTGCCCAAGATTCGAGAAAAAATTACGCACCACACCAACTGAGACTACGAATTCCTCTTGGATATATTCTCCATTGACATTATGGGGTTGCGAAACGCTGCTTGTGCTGCGGTAGGGCTACAAGAGATGCTCGAATTGAACGTAATAAACCACGGGTATACTAATACCTCTAGAAGGTTCCGTCCACCAGAAAAGACGGATTATTGCATAATACTGACTTGACCGACAGATTTCAAGGTAGACAAGATAACAAATCACAAGTCCAGACTTGATTCATTTTTACTCAGTTGGGTCAAAACTCAAAGCGGACTCGGTGAGGGAGTTTACTCAAGAGAGCTTGGTATTTGCAAATATTTTCCTTTACTGGGCCACTGCCATGTTTTTCAGCTATGCACAAATGGTCTGTCAATTGGCTCAGGTTATTTACACTCTCACAAATTCACATTTATAACTTTCCGGATAGCCAGGCCGCATTAAGAGCCCTGGAATCGATAACAGTTCTAACGAAGAACATAGATAATTGCCGCAGATCACTTAACGCTAGGTCCTAGCAGTTCTCTTTGTACCTGCGAATTTTGTCGCTAGCACTAACGATTATGCGATTCTCGAACTCAGTTTTTGCGATAATCGACAAGTTCGAAATATGCGACAAAAACAAATAAATTCGAACAAGTTTATGAAATCAAAAAACTGTTACGGCTTCCACTTTAAAAACTACGCTGCGAGACTCTTCGCTCTGTAGAGGAGTTTCAAATAAAAGAATCGTGCCGCGCTCATGGGTACGATACCTTCTCCTCTGTTGATAAATCGTATGCCAAATACTCAAAGCCATTATATACTTTTATTTTCTTTTTTTTTATATATTGCTTATAAAATTTTCTCATTTACTTAACGTTACTTTATCCTTAAAGAAATATATAAATAAATATTTTGTCGATGGCACTAAAAACTGCAAAATATTCGTCGCTTAGTTAGCGATTTGTCGAGAAGTTTACGACAACAGCGATGGCGAATATCGTTGAAATAGGAACTCCGAATATTCAAATCGTTAGAATTGTCGCTAAGTCATTCTAACGATCAGAAAATCCAGTTTTCGCTGGTACTAAAGCAAACGCTATATTATTTCTTGTACACCTGTCAACTACTAACAGCTGGCGCACAAAAACATTGAAAAATAAAATATAAAAAAGCGAGCGATTTGCTCTTATACATACATACATATGAATGTTTATAAAACATACATATGCTTAGCCGCAATTACAAAAACAATTGATTACAATTTTTTGTTTAACAACAGAAAGTGAAGGGAGCATTCATTCGCTCTCCATTAATGCTTCAAATTCAAACAATTCGCTTAAATAGATTTTTACATACATACATACATATGCAAATATTACACATCACATTTAACGTACATATGTATGTATGAATGTATGTACAAGCAAACCTTCCTATAAATTGTAAATGAAATATTTCTCCAACATACCTGTCATAGTTTTGCAATTTTATAATTTAACGAACACTTTCTTATATTTAAAAAAAAACACACACTTCGAATAATAACTGTATGCCAAAAATTAATTATTTCAATAAAAGCACTATTTAAATGCACAAGTTCTCGCTATCAGGTGCTGTTAGCGAATAACTGAAAATTGTAAAGACGTTCGTTTAAAAGCAAGAACCAACAAACCTGTTTCTCACTCAAATTTTTTATGACAATTACGTCACTGCCAGTGAGTTGACAAAAAGAGTATATATATACATATACATAATATAATAGATAAATATGGATGTATTTAGAGTTCACCAGAGAGCTTAGAATAGTTATTATAAGTTCTCTGATCGGGCATGCCGATTGCCATGCGTTCCTCTTACGGGATTGATAAGAGACTATTTCACCTTTTACGATATAAGTAAGAGCGTGGTTCCATTGCGCTTTGGTTTATTGATTTCATTTCATTTCGTTTCATTTCATTTAGTTTAAATTCATTTCACTTAGTTTAATATAATTTAATTTTATTTTATAATAAAATATTACAATTTTATTATATTTTGATTTTATTTATTTTTTGTCATTTGTTTTTAATTAATTTTTTTTTTTAATTCATATTATTTTATTTTGATTTTTTTTAAATTCCTTTGATTTAATTTTATTAAATTTTCTACATATTTCCATTTTTTTTTTACTTTTGCACTTTAATTAAGTTTGTAGTAGGAAACGCCTTCCAACACTACTCAGTACATTGAGTTGGCCAGCTGCATCACTCATACGCCCCTACCGGCCGAACGAGTCGTTTGCCAGCCGGCTAATTTCGCTTTTTAACAAATCAGCTGCCATTTACATTACACGTTTGAATAACCTTGAGAAATATTTACTTGGTAAAAATGCGCTCAAGTAGCAAAAAAGTAACAAAAGAATTTTAAAACAAAAAATTAATTACGCGTATTCGTTAGCGATTAAGCCAAAACCGAAACCATAACTGCAATTAGAGAATTGTTTTAACGTATTTGTTATGCGTTTTCTTGTTTTCATTTCTTGGTTTTGCTAATTCGATGCTGTTGCTCCATAGCTGCATTGCTTGTGTCAATTTTAAATTGGTTTCGCAGCGCTGACTTCATTGAATTTGTTTTTGTGTTAATTTAATGTGCGATTTTGTAACGTTTTATGTTCTCAATTACCTCGCTTCACCGCTTTCTGCAGCGTTAATTGTACACAGCAGCGAGAGATTGCAAAATTATATTTTTTCTCAATTAATTAATATTTTTTGTAGCGACTTGCACAATAGTTTTTGCATGGAAAATTCACAATAAACCGACATTAGACTGACGTCGGCAGAGGTAGAAAACTGGAAGTAGAACAATGACAGCGCCCATCAAAACATTCCCAATTTAAGTTATTTGAAGTTTTTTCTACTTTCGGGTCATTTGATAATACTTAATGCTAGATCATGACCAATTTTTTTTTGATAGTCAAAATTAATGCATTGAAATATATTTTATCTGATTTGTAAGACCTTTAAAGGTCATAGGTGGACATCAGCTGCTATTGTGTTGACAACTAATAATAGCTTTTGTGCTTGCATGTCATGACAAACGTATGTATGTATATATGTCTGTGTTTTAGTCACGCAATAGAAATGGGGACCATACGAAGAGGACTTACTTTAATACCACTTTAATACAAATTGACCTATTTTACTATTTCTCTGCTCAGGTTAGGTAGAATTTTTTGTCTCACGCGCACAAATTAGTTAACCAAATAAAATATTAATAGCTAAACGCGGCAGTAGGAAAACGATAAAGTTTTTTCCAGTGACACAAATAATTTTTTTATGAATTTTTTTTAGAAGATTGAGAAAAATGTAAGAAAAATGGAAATTCATCGCTTGTTTAGTATATGATTGAAAGTTTCAAAGTTTTAAGGGCATTTGCTCAAGCGAAAAATGTACTAAGCATTATTTGACTTGATTCAGAAAGGGTATGAAAAGGATTTTTTACAGCGCGACAGCTGCTTTTTTCGAAGTTACTCAACTCGAAACACTTATATGACTTCTTTGACACACACACACACACACACACCCGCATATATACACTCGATAAAAATGGGAAAAAATTAATTTATAGGACTCACCATCCTGTTGTTTGGCTCCACTACTTTCAACGCCTTTAGAGTTTGTCGTTGAATATTCCTTACAATTTGCTGAACCCATATTTACGGCTACCGGTGATGATGTCGAGCTGTTTAAAATGCCAAGATTTGTGCGTGCGTCTTGTTGTTGTCGTTGTGTTTGGTTTATTGTGCTGTGAAACCTGTTGAGTATGAATGAGGCGTGTTGGATAGATTGCAAAAAAAAAAACGAAAAAAAAAACAATTTCCAATGTACACACATATGTATATATGTATGTATAACTATAAGTATCAACTGGCCGATTTGACTGTCTGACTAACCTTCGCTCTTGTGCTGACCTTAAGTGGTGGAAGTGATGGTTATTACTGCCTTTGCTCCACCAATGCCGCTGACCGTATGTTTCACTCTTTATTTGACTGGTGTTGATGATTAGAAGTTTGCGCTGTTGGCTTGATATAATGCTGACACAGCGGCGTGTTAATGAATTCCTGTGCGAGACGAATGTTTGTGTTGGTATGCGACACGCAGGAAGGACAAATGTCGATATTAAAGTGTTAGAACGACGAGAAGTGATAAATTAAATGTGTAGGCATGAAAGAGGGAATAATAAGGAGATTTAGTTGTATTAAAATTTATATTCATATAGTATGTACATATATACTATGTATGTAAATATATTCTTTCATAATTACATAATGATGTGCGATAAATTTAATTTAAAAGCGAAGTGCGTGAAATATTCTCGCTTTAAAAGCAAAACACTTGTTAGGTATGAGGTCTTCATTGGCACATTTTAGTTGCTTACGCTTATTTATACATAAACATATTCGAATTGAAGTTATTTTATTGCATTTTACTTGTGACTGATGCGTGCAGAAGTAGTAAAGGGTAATTTAAATTGTTTACTTGAAACGTCATAAAAAAATTTGCATTCACATATTCAACGTAAGAATAATAAAAAATAGTTTTATTTGGCACAAAGCCGATTATGATCAGCTCATACTCAAGTCTCTATTATACATATGTGCGTATGTATGTATATATAATATATAGAAAAATATATAAACATACATACATGTATGCATATGTATGTATGTGCAAAATTAATATTTTTATTTTTGTGCATATACACAACGAATTCTCAGTAAAACAAACATATGGACAAACAAAACACGCGACGCACTAGCTGTGGACTGGTTTTCCCCCAAGCTCCAATCATTCACTATGCGTTATGTTTTTATTATTGCTTGTTGTTTTTTTTTTAGGTTTTGGTTAACACTACTTAATAACAATCACTTCTACTTTTTTGTTTTTGCTATTTTTAATTGAAATACTCCTTCTCATTTATGCGTTTGAATAGTAACGAAAGTGTAATTAAATCCTTTTAACGTATATATGTATGCTTGTATTTATTATTTACTTACATACAAGCATCCGACACGTGTGAATCATAAATTCACAATAAGCAAGGAACTTAATTAACGACGACTTGCATGACCGACTGTCTAAATGGTACTAATGCTGTTTTGACGCCGACGTCTGGTGGATACTTATGGAGCAAATGACCCCATACAGCGTTGGCAAAAATAACAGACACATTACTGTTTCGTACAAAAATTAAACTATTTCTCTTTTGTATTTTAAAATCTCGAGAATTTTAAAACGTTATTTGATTACGGCTTCCAGTAGGATAAAGGTACTATTCACATTATATACACTATTTCACCGGCACTCCTATTTCATGAGTTCTTTATTATTTATGTTTATTCAAATCGAAATGCTTATGTCAACTCAACTTGATTATTTTTTTTGTAACTTTTTACGTAATGCCATAAATACTAACTTGATGTGTTTTTTGACGGTCAGATTGCACTGCTGCTATTGTTTTAAGCAGAACTGTATATTATTTGAGAGCCAGGTTAATAACAAACTTCAATGGCGAGAGCATGCTACATATTAAAATATTGCACATAAGTACATAGGTATATATACAGACATACGAAGTTGAAAAAATATATTGCTTTGCGGCTCACTAAAGTTTTAATATCATTTGCGGTTGCATTAAAGGAAAATTATGTAGCAACGTACACACATAATCAAGTACTTATTTAAGTGAAGATAGAAAACTGTTATTATCACTGAGATAAAAAAAACGTATTGTGGTTTTGAACAAAATAAAAATAAAAAAATCGGAAAGCTTGAATACCTAAGTAGGACAAAAGCGACGACGAACTCAAAATTGTTTTTGTAATTGATAAACCCAATTGCTAACACTTATAAATAGTTCAATGATTTGAAACTTGTTTCGTAATCTTGTACTATTTTTATCAATCTAAGTTTAGTTAAATTAACTCATTTGTGTGCACTATTTAGGTTATAGGGAATACAAAAAAAAAAAAACAAACAAAGAAGTTTACCAAAAACAATATATAGGTGCATAAAGGTGATGCATTTTAATTTTTTATTTTCTCGTAAACGCGCTCAAAAATTTTGCTTGGACTTTTTGGAAAGACAACTTTTTTTTATTGAATCACAGTAATGTATGCACATTATTAATTACAAAAATCGGCAACAATGTCTTGCCGATACAAACATTCCACAACGGCAAACTTACTCTTTGCCTCTCACTTTTCATCTCCGCAATTGTGATTAACTTTTTTTTGTTGATACACTAAAAAATAAGATCTGGTACAATAGCTTAATGTACATATATATGTATGTATTGTAAAATACAATTGATAGTAAAAGGTGTTGAAAATAGACAATCAATAACCGATGTGCTTAACACTAGACATTCCAATTTTCACGTCATGCTTACATACATATTTATTTAACCGTAGTGTTGAACAAAAAAATTTAAGCACAAGTGGTCTGTTGTTGCTTTTACTAGTGTATGTATATTTTGCGTACATGATATGTTATTGTGTTATCAGTTATTGTCAACTACGTGCCTAAGCTACGTGCCATGCATAGTTAACTTTGGTGATAAAAAGCTTACTGCCAAGTCATTTAGGAATCACTTAAATGTACGATGATTAAAAGCACTTCGGTCCCAAAGAACTAACTAGAAACGACACTTTATTATTTAATTTATTTATGATTAATTTATGAATTTTTCATTTTGAAGTGACGAATTTCGATCAGTTGAGTGAGCGTATATTGCAATTAGAAACAGCTGATTGCCGGTTGATGACAGGGATGTAAATTCTGAATCGCAATAAGAGCGCCCAAAAAGGGTGTAGTTTAAATTGCACATTGACGCTTGACCGGAAGTTTAGCTACAATGTCATAATTCTGGGAATGTTTCAGCAATAGGTTTTTTTTGCGAATTTGAATTTGCTAATGTTTTTTGCATGTGGTAAATAATATTTTTTGTTACCGTTGTTTCCAATATATGTCTAGTATATATATGCATGTTGTGACGTTTTTGTGGAGTAGTTCAAAATAACATTCCGAATTAAATTACTGAGCTTAAGTCTTATTTAAGCTATTACAATAACAACAACAAATAACTGGTATTGAAGAAATGACGTAACATTTGCTTAATGTGAAAAAATTTAAAAACTTTGCAAAAACATTTATGGCGCTGCAGCTGTGGTTTTAACTACGTGCCATGCACAGTCACCTTTGATGATAAAAAGCTTACTGCCAAGTCATTGAGAAATCACTTAAATGTACGCCGAAAGAGAGAACTAACTAGAAACTACACTTTGTATATGCATAAATATGTACATATATTATAATTAAAATTTACGAATTATTCGTTTTAAAGTTAATGATTACATTTTGATTGCTGTGCTTTTCGAATTTCGAACAGTTAGAAACAGCTGATTGCCGGTTGATGACAGGGATGTAAATTCTGCGTCGCAATAAGAGCGCCCAAAAAGGATGTAGTTTAAATTGCAAATTAACGCTTGACCGGAAGTTTAGCTACAATGCCATAATTCTGAGAATGTTTCAGCAATTGAAATTTTTTTTGCAAATTTAAATTTCTTAATGTTTTTTGCATGCGGTAAATAATATTTTTTGTTACCGTTGTAAATTACCGAAGTAAAGTACGGAACTACCATTTGAGTCTTATTTAAGCTGTTACAATAACAACAACAAATAACTGATATTGAAGAAATTACGTACCATTTGCTTGATGTGAGAAACATTAAAAATTTTGCAAAAACTGATTTATGTCGCTGCCGCTGTGGTACAAGAACATTCGTACGGCATTTTCAGTATCTACTGACTCTCCTGCTGGAGGCGATGTTGCGAATAAAGCAATTGTAAATATATTTTAAAAGATTTTCATTTGAAGAATACCAAACTAAATAATTTTTATTTTCTGTATACGCATGTATATTTAATTTTATTACATCGAATACATACATAGGTAAGCAATATTTAACGGTCTCGGATAAAGTGTCTTCATTATTAAAGCTAAATTGGATTTGTGGTTTATATATGTTTTTTAAAGTAAATACAATAATTTATACGTTAAAATTACAATCAATAAAAAAATGTACGGGTATAAAACTATGCCAATCCATTTGTTTGCCAATTAGGAATATCTAATATATGTATGTATGCTAGCAAATGAATGTTAATGAATTATGTTTTAATATGCATATGTAAAACGTAAGTATTGATAAACACTGCTCATCACAATTTATAAATTTTACTGTTCCTAATGACTTTTGCCTACGCCTAAACGCTTACCTCACCAAAACATATAAACAAAATAAATAAATAAAATGTTTGCCAGAATCTAAAAACAATCAGCAGTTACAGAAGTGTAGCATTAGTTTTTCCTAGGTTTACTATAATTTTGAAAGGATGCTCTTTTGCCTAAGGAAGCTAGCTTTAGGCTAGTGGTTCTTGTTAAATTATATGTTATATTTATTGGTTTAAAATAACACGTTCAAGCCGCAACCACGTCTTGTATCCAGTTGAGAGCGCCACGTATGCGACGTAGACGTGCACGCGCCAAGAAACTACATATCAACAGGTATTCAACATAAGTGCGTCGGCCGCTCGCATTGAAGCTGAACTGTTCGACAGTAGCGCGACCTTCGCACATAACTTTGGTGGTAAGTGAAAGTAGCCATTGGAGGATCTGTAGAAAAGAGAACAATATTAATAGAAAAAACCGATATTTTCAATACCATATTCTACTCACCTCCGGACTATTGGGCGTGCCACCTGTCTTAAGCCATTTCGATGGTGCCCACAGGAATAGCTGCATTACATTTGCGGCTATATCTGGGCTAACACGCTTGGAAGCGCTCGGATTTAATATGTTAAAAATTAGCTGTTGCACAATCACTGGACATTCATCACTCAGCGGCGGCAAATCATCTACTTTATAATCACTGTTTCGAAGCGATAACGTCTGTTCCCCATTAGCGAAAGCCAAACCACCACTTGAGGAATAAAAAGGATTGCGTTGGCCGAATATTTCATAGGCAATCGCACCGCAAGCCCACAAATCTGATTTAGCGTAGTTAAGCACCGCAAACGGCCCTGGCTGTTTATTAATGATCTCTGGCGCCATAAGTGCAGCATTACCGCCCTTATCTATATCGAAAGAGGTGTAGGGTATCTGCAAGCCATGCACTTTATCAGCCAAGCAACAGCCGAAATCTGAGAGTACCAATACTGGCGGCGAATCATCATCATTCATTTCAATAAGTATGTTGTCCGACTTGAGATCGCGATGTGCAATGCCGTGACGATTAATATGCGCTGTGGCCTCCAACAATTGTGCCAACAACAATAGTTTGGTACGTGCGCTCAGTTTATGCGAATCGAGCAATGCGCGCAAACTGTAATCGTAGCGTTTCATCAGCAGATATAGCGACATATTGCGGCCATAACCGTTTGGATTGATGCGTTGCGGCTGCGCAATGGGATATAGCAAGTGACCATCGGGGAAATTACGTACCTCATCGCAGAAAAAGCCAAACATGCAGACAATATTTGGATGAGGTGGCAAAGTGAGTGTTTGATTTTGCAACAGGCGTTCCCACTCCCCAGCGCAGTCGTTCATGCGACGCGCTCGTGCTGGCACGGTCTCTTTGTACATGGCACGTAGGATGGAGAGCGCGTTACTTTGTATGTCATAATTGAACATCATTTTCAAAGCAAGTGGATAACGATTGATGTCAGCCAGCGGTGCGTCGATGGGTTGCTGCAAACACACAAAAGAGGTATATAGGTATTGATGATAAAATTAAATACATACCAGCCCTTGCATGCCGCTGCTAATGCCAGAGAAACCAGCGTTGCTATCACTATCCAAATCGTCAACTAATTTCTGCATATTTTCCTCTTCCCCTTGTGCTTTCCGTTGAGCGACAAACGCGGCTGCAGCTGAGTTCTGATTGTACAGCTCGTTCAAATTGTCCATAGAAGTGCCGAAATTGTGTACAAAACGCGACATATTCTGTATTGGCGACATTAGTTCTGGTTGGAAAGATTGTTGTTGTAGTCGTGTAGCTGCGCTAGCTTGCGCCAAGGCAGCCGCTGCCTGTGCATCGTGTGTTGCATTGAGTAAGGGAGTTTCCACAGCTGCGCTAACGGGATGCGTATTTTTAAAAGCTGCAGAATAAACTACCGCGGCGCAGCCTTTAGCTATAGCCGGCCCAACGTCCAGCTTATCAATATTAAAATCAGAATTAAGAGTTTCAGATATTTCATCACAGTTCCACGAGGCCTGCAATCGACCCGCAGCTTCACGTATCTCCCAACAAACGCCCTCCAGCTCATCTTCTTTCGTTAATACACCTGCGCCGGAAGCCAAGCTAACACCGACCAATGCAAAGAAAGGTGCGGAATCGCCGTAGAAAAGCTTTTTTGTTGCTTGTGTTCGTAAATCTTGTGAATAATTGGTTGTGACACGATTCAGAATGTTGTCAATGAATACTTTGCGCGCATGTTGACCAACGCTTAAGAGGCCGGTACGCGGCAGCGATTTGGCAGCGCCGCTTGTGTTGGTATTTGCAATGCCATGTAGTGCACCTTTAACCTGTAAAGGTTGAGCGGACGCGCTGGTGCTAGCAGCGCCCGACTGTTAATATGCAAGAAAGAGTTTTAGGAGATATTACATTGTTATTTAACGAAACATTGGCATACCCTCAAAGAGTTGGGTAAGCTCCGGCGCGTCTTCTCTCGGCTTTGTTCCAAAATGTTGGCGTGTATATCGCGTCTCCAGTAGCTTTGTAGGAAGTAGCGACCATTTTTAACCAGTCGTAAAGTGAGTAGGCGCACAGACATTCTCGACGTCTTCTACTAAATACGCCTAATCGCTGAACAATGATGCCCTGCTAATACACGGTCGTTTGTTTCGCACTGCTTCTCAGTTACACGAACTGCACAGTCGTTGATGTTTGCTGCTGTATGTGTTTGTTGTTGTGAAGGTAGCAGCTGAACGAGAATTATTTACGTCGCAAAAGTAGAAAACTTCAATATAAACATTTTTCCAAAACACGTATGTATGTACATTCTACTTACAATCTACTTATATTTGCCCAAACTCGTTGAATTTATGCACCGCACACCGCGGCTTTTTGTACACATCGAAACTGATGGATCTAGCAGGTGCTAATACCTCGTTTTTGCAATTATCTAACAATCGCAATAGTTTTTCACGCTTGGCTAGTTACTATATTTTTATGTGGCAACACAAAATATGATACCAAAGTTAATACAGTTTTGTTACACGAATGGACTGCATCCTTACCATAAGTTTTTTTATCAGCGATGTGACATTAAATTTTCTTCTGAATGTTTCTTGTTTATTTTGGTTTTCCGCTTTTGGCACTGCTATTGCAAATTCTATGAGTTCATCGCTTTTTTTCAATAATCGCTATAAATAGCAGAAGAAAACAATTGCCTAGCAAAACAAAACTCATTCGCAATAAAGAATCAGCTGATTGTATTTTCTTGCAATTCATTCACTATGGTTAAGGTACAAAGAGGAATTGGAAATTGCAACGACTCACTTCCGGTGTTGATAAATAAATATTGAATCGTTAAAAAAAGTTATATTTGTAAATATTAATTAACGGAACGTGTGAAATAAATGTGAATTCCTTAACATTCAACTCTTTTATTAAATAAAACTTTAAATAATTATTTTTGGTTTTAAGCTAGTCTAACTGGTTACTTGTTGCTTTCAAGCTAAGCTCTCGGTTAATATAATATATTACGGTTGTTTTCCCATGACCGTTTGCTATTGTTTCTACATTAAGGATTATCGGAAATTTATACTTTTACGAACTTTTATTAAAAATGCTGGTTTAAGTGCTATATTTATTTTTTAACTAAAATAAAGTATAAATAAGTTAAAAATATGGAATCATTTCGTCGGGCTTATAGAGGTATTTCGATTTTTGTACTATATACTTGCATATTGATTACATGCTCTTCATAGATCCAAAATCCCCACTCACTCCTCTAACACCGTTGGCTTCGAATGCAGCATTTAATTTTAATTTGGGCGGAGACGATTCGCTTAAACCATTTATTAATGTCATAACAGGAACCCCACGGTGCTCACCAACTGTTCCGAGGAGTGGTATAAAATGTGTTAATCCGAATAAATACACCAAGCCTCAACCGACACAGCTAAACACGCGAAATGTCTCAACTAAGGCCACAGATAAGGCCAGAAAACTTTCACCAAGATTTGCTGCTAACATGAAGCCCGAAGTAGATATGAAACAGGTTTTCCAAGTTGCAGATCACAGCGATAGTTGTCTGATGTCGAAATCTGACATAAATAATAATTCCAGGCAAACTTGCGCCTACAGTTCGGCCGCGTCATCAAATGTTCGTGGCACATCGAGTTATGGCTATAAAAATGAGCCGGGCCGGCAAAGTTCCTCCTATGACTCCAGCTTAACCGATTCCAATTTATCGAACGGTTCAAGTATCTCCTTTGAATCGAGCACGAGTACATCTTCAAGCTGTCAAGATGGCAATCGTCGACGTAAGCCACCAAAACTTGTACTAAATGATACAGCGCTTGATGTGCCTGAATTAACTATGTCATCTGTTTTCAACTGGGTTTGGAATCGTTTATCACCTATGAAAAATCCATCAATTTACGAGCTATTGTCGCGCGTCGGTATGCAAAAGTACTGGAATATCTTTCAAAAGGAGGAAATTGTTGATTTGGATGTGTTTTCAACTTTAACTATGGATGATTTGAAATCAATTGGTATTAAGGACACTAATGACTGCGTCAAAATATTGAAATCAGTTGCCTGGGCAATAGATTTTTTATCTGATTTGCTAAATTTTAAAAAGCCTTAACTTGGTAGTAGAGAGAATGTTTCTTTTTTAATTAATTATTTTATTAGCTAAATTTTATATAATTGTGTGTTGTTTCAAAGTTTATGATTTGTATTTATGATTGTTATTGGAAAATTATACTGACTATTTTGAATAAACTTGACTGTTTTAAAAAAGTGTGTAACGAATATAAAATATATGTGTGCTTTCTTACAATTTCCAACTTCGAAGGAATTATCCATAAACAACGTAGTCATATATTATATTAAGCCGTCTGGGGCCCCTCCCTCTCTGAACGTATCTTAACGTGTCCTTTCCTGTAATCCTTCCATCCCTTATTTTGTTTCACACTTCTTTTTGGTTACTATATTTTGCATCAAAAATATTTAATAAAAAAATGTGTACAATAAGTAATTTCTTTCTTTTAGTAGTTGCCAATAGATCATTTATTTAGTGTGAGGAAAATTACGTAGCTTTGTTCTCAACTCAAGCGTAGCATTTAAAGCAAACCAAATCCCTCTTGACCGAACTACGTGGTTTATGGACGAGCCCTAAAGAAATTCCTTCAATATCTTCTTCCTCGCCTCTTATTGTTACCTTATTGCGTAGAAGAACAAGCATTATGTATCGGATTTTTCACTTCTAATTTTCTGCAATAAGTTGTTTATTGTCCGGAAACATAAACAGTGAAATATAAATTCTCATAAAAAATATTAATAAATAAGGTTTTTTTGAATCGTAATTTATCAGCCGCGTATTTTTTATTCTGCATTTATAGTATCGAGTATTTCTTAATAACTAGATACAATGGAGTCGGTACTTTTCGCGAATATCAAAAAGTTATATGCTAATGAGCTCTATTCCTGTGTTATTCCTACCGCCAGCTTACTGAGTACACTTTTACAAAATGATCGCAATGTCGCGACACCAGAAATAGAATATCAAGTACTACTCTTTAGCGGTAATGCACATTACTACGAGCGGAACTATCGCTTGGCCAGTAAACAATATGAAGCAGCACTATTAATGCGAAAGACTATGTTACGCTTTAAGAATACACACTTGGTTAGCATTGAGATTACACATGAACAGTTTAGCGAGCTTGAGACGCGGTATCGCCTTGCCAAGTGCTATCAAGAACTAGGGGAGGACCACAAGGCCATCAGTACACTACATGCCTTGCCGCTAAAGTCTCGTACACCTAAAGTGAATATGTTGTTGGCGAAACTTTGGCACTACGGGCAAAGTGTAGATAAAGCCGAGGCTATAGCTGCATACAAGGAAGTGCTAGGCGACTGTCCGATGGCATTGAGCGCTATAGAAGCGCTGCTGATGTTAGATGTTGATGGCATAGAAGTGAACACGTTGGTGATGAATGGTAATAATATCACCGGATTTTACAATAAAATAGTAATATTGATTTCCTTTTAAATTTTAGCTAGTAATGTTCCAAAGCATATCGACTGGCTGAGCAATTGGATAAAAGGACATGCACAATTGTACTCTCGTGAGCATTTAGAGGCATCAAAGACTTTTCAAGCCATCAACGATAATACCAAATTTCACCAAAATTCACATTTACTTGCGCTTATAGGGAAAAGTCACTACTATTACGGGCGCTATATACAAGCCCAACAGTATTTGGAAACAGCACTTATGGTTAATCCACATAATACGGAAGCGCTAATGCCTTTGGCTGTTGTTTACGAATACAATCAAAAATTAACGGAATTAGAGAAGCTTTCAGCACAAATGGGTAATATAAAAGATCTAAATTCGGAACACTGGTTTGTTGTCGCCGAGTGCTGCTATGCTGCTGGTCAAATAGAGAAAGCTATTTCATTTGCTAAGAAGGCCATTGAGTTGGATGAGCGTAACATTGAGGCACAGCTCTTGCGTGGACGCATTTGCTTACAGTTAAAACAGCGTGTTGAAGCAATTTCGTACTTTCGCACAGCACAATGCATCGCAAGTTACCGTTTTGAGGTGTATAAAGGTCTTTATCATTGCTATGTAGGCATGAAGCGTCGGGATGAGGCGCAGGCAATGTGTGCTGTGGCTGTGCGCTGTTTCCGAAACTCGCCACGAAGCTACGTGGTAGGTGTAAGCATGGTGCTCGGACTAGACTGAAAAATAACATAATTTTATTTTTAGATGTTTGCACGCGTTTTACTGCAATCCAACAATCCGTTGGCGAAGAAGAGCGCCAAGAAGTTCTTAGCCAAAGCTTTGGAAATCGACGAACACCATGCCGTTGCCGTCGCTCTAATGGCAGATGTTTGTCAAGCGAACGGCGAAACACAGGAAGCAAGCGCTATGCTGAAGAAACAAGTTATGTCCTTTCCAAATCCCTCATACTTTAGCATGTTGGGTGATTTACGTCGCACTGCCCGTGATTTGGACGGTGCGCTGGAGTACTACACCATTGCATTGAGGTGAATAAACTGCAATAATTATCAATATTTGTATGCATTTATTTAATTTTTTTCTTTCAAGTCTCGAGCCCAACGACCAGCATGCATTGAAAGGCGTTAAAGCGTTGACACCCTGGGGCGATAAACAAGATCAAGACACATCTTTAATGATATCACGATTACGTGACGAGGAATGGCAAATAGATGATGAGGCGGAAGAATCTTCCTCGCACGATGAAGACGATTCAGACACATATTCGGATCCTTTCTGGCAGGACCTTGAATCCGAAGTGATTAATTAGCCTAACCGCTAATTCTGATAAACGTTGTAGAAGTTAATATTATTTATTACTTAGATACTTTAATAAAAAAAATGCAGCGCTATAAGCGTTTTAGTTATTTATAAACTATAAGTAAACATATTTCCCATAAGTCGTTAATGAGCACGTTTATATTAAAATCCTTAAAACATGTTCATTTTTTATTGTGAAAAAATAAATCCAATACAAAAAAAACCTTCATTTACGTCGCTTTTTCCGCTTCCATGTCCTCGTCGTTGGCTCCACTTGCATTGGCAGCTGGGGTGGAGTTAGTCGTCTTAGCTTTATCTTTCTTCTCCTTTGTGACTTTGCGATATGTCTCCAAATCCGATGTCAACGGATCGACGAAACTTTCAAATTCCAATTGCTTTAGAGCGTCTAATATATTCGCAGCTGTGATAGTTTTGTGATTTTGTTTACGAGCCAACGTTGTGGATGACGATGTTAGGAAGATAACAAAGACAGATGCCGCGCGCGCTATAGCGGCACGCGCTTCTTTACTCACATTTGCGCCCTCGGGAAGTGCTTCTTTGATTAGACGACCCACAACAGCATTTGGTAAATTCAAATCTTCAATACGCTCAACCATTGTGAAATTCTTTTAAATGTATTTTTATTAAATTACTTAGCAAATTGCTCTGCTTATGAATTGGATTTTTGCTAATATTACTCGAGACCAACAGACCAACCGGTAAACAAAAATTAAATAAACGCAATGCTGCTTCTTATTCGCCATGCGTTCACAATGCGATTTTTCCGATACAAAATACGAGTATATGTGTTTCATAAATAATCGATTAATACGCAATTCACAAGGTACATGAAAGGCGAACATATAAAATATATAAAAATATATATACAAATAAAACGATTATGATACAGATTATAGCAATGTAAAAAAGCCGGTACTGGCACAGCACCACTAACGCTTTGAATGCCTCTTGAGAGTCGTTGTTCAGTGAATGAAAATTGCATCCGATTCGACAAGGAACCTGCCGCCTGCACAAACTGCAAAACACCAGCTTGATTTCTGCAGGGAAGAAGTTCAGGGGGTCTTCGGGAAGGCGAAAGCATCCAAAGCCATCCGCTCCGACGGAACAACTATGCTGGTCCTCAATTTGTTTTTGACCGCCCTAATGATACCTTGCTGCTCTTGACTTTCATTCACCATCTGTGTCAAGCTGCACATCAGCAGGACTTCCGTAGAGGGCACAGTACCACAAAAGCACTTATGTCGCCGGATCATCACTTGCACAGCGAAGCATCTATGCTACGAGTTAAGGAGCATAGTGCTTTGCTCTTGCAAGCAGTTCCTATTGGGATGTTAACGCAGCGAGCACCCTAATGGGCATCTAATAGAAGCTGAACCCCCATTTGGCACAGCAGAAAGGGAGCACTAGACATGAAGGACATCGCTGCACAGGACGTCATACAGATAATCACGGAATGCCATTCGTCAGGAGTCAGTCATCACCTTCAAAGACTTACTTTCCGTGAACGGTGTGCTCACCACCTATCTTAGACAACGACCTCGAGCTGCTCCGAGAGACCCGCGTGACACTGGCACAAGTTAGGTCTAGACACTGTAGTAGGCTAAGATCCTACCTATTCAGACTCGACCCCAACATACAAATCGTATGTCCTGCATGTGGAGAGTCTCCGGCCGAAACAAACCACCTCTTTACATCCCTCTAAGCCGACACATCTAACCTCCCTCTCCCTCTGGTCCGATCACGCCGAAACAGCTCGTTTCCTCGCGTTACACCGTACACCTTCAATGCGCGAGCGTTTGTGACCAAATCGCCAGCAGACACACATTGAAAAGACAATTTAAGTAAAGTGGGTGCGGAGAACTTGAGAATTTCGTGAATTATTTATGAGCCCCATATTCAGGAGGTACGGAATTTCGCAGGAAAGTAAAATAATTTAATTGTTATTGTTATTTTCTGTCTAACTATTATTTATTGAAATACATATGTACATATGTATGTGTATATATCAAATTATTGTATTAAATATACTTTCCTGTTTAAGTACACGAACTACAGCAAATAGGTATTATTTACAAATTATTATTATTATCATTATTTTACGATATGTGCCAACTCTCCGTTCGCAAATTTAACGGCAATTGCTTCGTGCATATCTACTCACAATATTCTTCATAATACTGCAGCTAATGTCTAAACTACAAATTAGTTCACTGCATTGGCCAACACTGAAATTACGTGCAGATCTCTGTATGTAACTATGTATGTATGTATGTATGTATGTATATATGTATGTATATATGTATGTATATATGTATGTAAGTAGTACCCCGCTATAATCTAACCCACTACGTAGTTTAGGTAGGTTTAACTAGTTTAAGAATCAAATCGATAACATATCTACATATATGTATGTATTTATGTAAAAGAAATTATGCCTCAGGCTGTGCCTCAACGCTGCTTGTCGCCGTCACCGCCTCTGTAGCTGCTGTTGTTGTAATGGCTGCCTGCTCAGCACCGGCCACTACCGCCGCAGCGCCCTCTTGTAGGCTAGGCAACGTACGCGTGTAAACGCCGGACGCCTCAATGACAACCGTCGACACCTCGGCATTTTCAATGCTGTTTGAGCTGTTGGCACTTTCAGCGCTGGTGGAGGCCGGCACGCCCGCATGCTCGGCAATCACAGGTTCCAACTCAGGCGACGTATATTGATTGACGCTTATTTCGGTTTCCACAGAGTTTGCTTCGATTGGCACAGGTGCATCGTTTTCCTTAGCTGGTAATTTTGCCTCCTGACCACCCTCTAACCTCACAATTGGTTCGTTCGCTGTAGGCGCTTCCGGTGTCTCTTCGGCTGGTGCAGCGGTAATCGTAACCTCCGGTGCTGGTGGTGCTTGTGTGTTATTTACCTTTTCTGATGGTGCTGTAGTTGTCGGTGCTGTTGTAGGTGGCGCTTCCACCGGCTTAATCGACTCTTCAGGCGCAGGTGAGGAGGCTTTCGACTGCGCTGGCGTGGATGCCTTCGATTGTGCTGGCGTTGCCGGTTTGGACGGCGCTGGCGAGGCAGACGGTGTGGAGGCACGCGAAGCCAATTTCTGCTTTTGTGCGCTCTTGTCCAGTAGCAATGTCGTCGCTTGTGGCGCTGGGCTGCCAGCGCGTTTTATCTCCTCAATCTTCGACTCGAGCTCTTTGCGTATTTCGACAATTGGTTTGAGCAAGAAAATAGGAACATCATCGTCGCGTCGCTGGAATAACATTTCACCCTCAAATTCGAGGAGTTTATGTTTGCGGGCGCGCAGCAAAATGCCAACTACCTTGTCGGAAATGTAATTGTAAATCTGTGGGGTGGAGTTGAAAAGGGTGTCATATTACAAATCGTTGACTTAAACGCGGGTAATAATGTGGTTGGGTACTCACATTGAAGAGTTCACCAAATGGTATTACTCGCATATTTGGCTCATCCTTGACATTGTAGCCCTCTGAGTCGATGATTTGACACAACTCCAGCATTTCGCGCATCACATGCATATTAGCCTTCTGACCGCGCATCTCTGTCAAGCTGCCTGCTAAGGGTCTGCGAGTTGCGTAAAGATAAGATGGATTAGTACAATGATAAACGACAGTTGTTGGTGGTTGCCTCAACTTACTTGCCATATTCGTCTTTGGAGAATGTGGGCTTAGGTGACACACGGCCACTTACCCCGGAAAAGGGATTTAGAAGTTGTTGTTTTTGATGCTGTTGTGTTTGTTTGTTGAACATAGCCACCTTGGAAGAGAGCGGCGAGTCCTGTAAAGTAAAAGACAATGGTTACAGTCTATTTATTTAATATATATGTACATATGTTTGTATGTATGTACGTCGGTGACGTATAAAAATACTTGAGTCATGACCGCGGAAGGCATTTTGACTACGAATTCGCTGAAGTTCGTGGCTTAACGGTAAATTTAATAGACTATGGTAAAAAATTTGGAGTTACATATATGTATGTTTCAAAGCCGTAAATTGTTTGTAATTTATTTATTTTTATTAATTTCTTTATTTTTTTTGAAATTTAATTTGATTGTCATTTTAATTGTTATTTAAAATCGAAACGGTATTTGATTGCAAAGTGTTTTGTGAGAAACCAGCAAGCAAGGTAGACGCGAAAAATACCTTTTACTTTATTTTATTTTGTTTTGTTTTATTTTAAATTGTTTTACTTTATTTCGTTATGTTTTTTTATTTTATTTCGTTTCATTTTGTAATAATTTCTTTCTATTTCTATTTTATTTTATTTGATTTGAGTTGATTTGATTTGATTTGATTTGATTTGATTTGATTTGATTTGATTTGATTTGATTTGATTTGATTTGATTTGATTTGATTTGATTTGATTTGATTTGNTTATTTTATTTTATTTTATTTTATTTTATTTTATTTTATTTTATTTTATTTTATTTTATTTTATTTTATTTTATTTTATTTTATTTTATTTTATTTATTTATTGAGTTTTGTTAATAAATAATTAAACTTTATTGAATTTTTTTAACTTTCTTTATTTTAATTTAATTTTTTAATAATATTTAAATCATTTTTTCTTGTTCTAATGTTTTCGATTGTACACGCCACAAAACCTCACCAAGCGCCATTGCTTCATTCACAAATTCACTCACTCGCCCATATCCCATTCATTATTTGCTTGCATTGTCACTTTTGCATTCCTTAGTGGTATCACAGGGCGTATGCGTGATTCCAAAGATATCATTGTTTTGCTTTTTCGCTAATTATGTCCACAGTTGCTCATGCCAATTATTTGTATGTATGTATGCATATAAAATATAATATATATATACAAGCGCATAGTAACAGCACTAATACTATTTTATTGTTATTATTTTTTTAAACATATTTGGATTGTTTTTTTTTTTTTTTTGTTTTTGAATAACCTTCGTTGCCTTCTTTAGCATTTAACGCAACAACAATTCAATTAAATTGAAGGAATTCGTTGCTCTACTCGCTATTCACCCACACAGCTCGTTGATTTTTTAGCTTTATTTAACAAAATGACGGCAGGTACCGTACATGAATTTCGCCGTTATGCAGCTGCATGTAATGTGGTGCATAAAAATACTTCGTAAATAATAAAAATTGCTTGTGCATCATCATAACAGAAACAACCCCGAACTTGAACAAATGAATTTGCGATTTATTTTTATAACGTAACAACTGTCAATGGCATAACAGAAGCTTTCCCATTTCGTCTGCATTTATTGTATTTGATATTGAATTTGTATATTTTGCCTAGAAAGTGCACTGATAGAAAAAATAACGAATGTGAGTTGTAATGAACCACTCTTGGTGCAGCGTGAACTTACATTCACATTCACCATGCAATGAAATTTACTAAAGAAATAATATAAATTCACTTCTGCTAGACAACGATGACTAAAACTAAGAAGATCTTGTTTTTCTGTTTTTTTTTTGGTAGTACTTTGAACTATTATTTATCTTCTTACAAATCAAAGTTGGACGAACCCGTGCATTGCTGTGATCATTTGGAATTTCATGTATTTACTAGTTGCTCTTTGTGGTTGCGTTTCTGGTTTGTTGTACAAGTATAGAAGCGCACATTTGCCAACACATTAATTACACTTCCTGCTGCGTGTGTCAGCCTTCGAATTGTGCCAACAAGAATAAGCACGCCTAAGACGCCAGCAAGCGAAATGGACTTGCGCTCGCTCTCATGTTCGGCGCAAAATGATTGCATTTTCGTGCGCCACACACATACAAACATGCAAAATGTGTTAGTAATGTATTTTTAATTTTACAAAACATTTAAACTATTTGCAAATTAAAATTCTAATGAAATGTGAAAAAAACTGTTTTACTTTAGTACTGTATATATGTATGCAGATATGTGTATGTACAAAAGGGTTGTACATTTAAAGTAACTCAGGGAGAAGTAACTTAAATTTATCAGTATTTTCGTCGTTGAAATGTTAAATGTTACGACAATTCGCACATTAAACAAAATTGATTTCCATACAAAGTTTGACATTTCGTTTATCGGGACGATAAATTCCTCAGTTCATCGATTTTATCAGCAGCTTCATTCATAAGAGCAGACCCTTAATATAATATATCTGTTTTTTAGTTTTATTTGTTGTGCTTCCAGTCGTTACAACAGATATATATGTACATATAATATATGTATATAGTAAAACAAAAAATTTGACTAATTTTCTATTTGATCTTATAAACACCAGTTATTTTCTGTCCGACAGCTGCAACTACCAAAGAAAATACTTTTCATGCACAGCATGACTCATGTAAAAAAAAATTAACGCATAAAATGTGGGCACTTCATGAATTTCGAACGTAGACACACGTTTTTGAGAGCCGGAAGACACATCAATCAAATTTTAAATTCTTTCGAGATTCAAACGGTACTACTGCAAGTGTCTGATAAATTTGTATGGGGCGGAAAGTGTATATTATAAGATAGAAAAGTTAGTTTTGGCTTTGCCGATTGGCGGAAGGAAGAATACAACTTTAGTATAATTCATTTACTTTTATTAAAACATTTTATATATTTTTTATTTTTGTTTTCTGTTTGAAAGAAATTTTGAATTCTTATATGTGTTAAAAAATAATATAGTTAAATCTTCTTTTCGCTCAAGCAAAATTAATTGGCTCAAAAATGACGCATTTTAGTTTAGTTTTGAGCAAAAAAATTATTTTAGTAGGTATTAAACTATTTGTGCAATTCCGTGTGTATAAGGAATTAGTTAAAAATATCTGTTTATTGGAAATTCCAAGCATGCTTGCGCCTTTCTTCCCAGGCTCGTACCATAAATCATTAAAAATACATACATATAAATATATTACTTTTGAGTTGGCGAAAAAAAATTACACATAAGAATTTAAATTGTCGTGAAGAATTTTTGAAAAAAAAAGAAAAATTTTCAAAAAATGTCCGCATTGTTTTCGAAATGGATAAACTTTTACTAAACAACATTTTTTTAGCATCATTTTTATTTTATTATTATTAATAGTAGCATAACGCAGAATTCTTTAAAATACATATTTACTTTAAGTTAATACCAAAATTAATGGCATGGATTTTTGTATAATAACTTTGTGTTATATTTTTTTTCTTTTAGGAGCTTTTTTGCGCATAAAGAAAGAAAATATTTTGCTATTAATATAGTACAAAGCACGCCCTCTTCTCCTAACCTAACCTAAAAGTGGTACTGGTGAATTTGCTACTTACAAAGTTGGTTTTGCATTTTTTTAAATTTTTTTTTAAATTCATTGATATACACACATACATATTTATATACAAATATTTGTTAAGAAGAAAATCTTAACATGGAATTTTATGTTTCTACATCTTTGACATTGAAAACGGCTTTCTGGCAAATACACGATTGGACATGTTCACCGCCTTCAATTGGCACCCACATGCCAGTTTTTGCAATGTCGCAATTTATGAAATTTTCACATAAGCAAATATTTTCCTTTATTTACGATCTTGTTTTTCTTTTTTGCTGCATCGTCACTTATGCCGCACTAGCAGGAGAGAAGAAGAAGACAGATTCGTGGAAAATTTATTCACTCGACAAATAATGCTTTTAGTTTAATATTTCCTCTGTTTGTAATTTTTATGTGTAAGAAACTCATAAAATACCACGGCACATTATTTGCACAGCGCACACTCCTTTTGTCGGCGCCGTGTGATTTTAATGTAGAAATATTTGCAAACGTGTAATTATATTGTACTTATGTATATGTGCACATATGTATGTACATTCATATTGCTGAAAATGCGAATGTGCAATTAGACAAAAATGTCGAGTCCGATGCGCGATCGTTGCTATGGCAGTGAAAAAAGTCTAAAAGTCTTGGCACTTGTCGCCGAATCAAGGACATGTGGACAGACAAAAGGCGGACGAACGGGTAGGCAGAGGATTGTGACTGACACGATGCGTCAAACGAATTTTTGCTGCCAACAAAAACACGACACGACAACGACAGGCAGCGAGCAAGGTGCGGATCAGTATTTTAGTCGGCTGACGGCTAGGCGGCGACAAATGCCGCTGCTGCTGCTGCTGCTGCTGCTGCTGCTATTGGACCATGAACGTGAACTTAGTGCGCACTGTCATGGCGACGATTTGTTTTTGCCACATGAGTGCGTGCGTGCATATGTTCAATTTGGCGTACACAAGAAATTTTTGTCAATTCTTCAATTTTAAAAATGAAATTTTGTTTTTTTTTTTTAGGTTTTTATGCAGAAATCAGATTTAATTTGCACAGCTAGCATACGAGTATAATGTGGGCGTGTTTTTTTTCATTATTTGAATATTAATTTTTGAGTTTTTTCTTTAAGTAATGATTCAATGAAAGGCGTGTGCTAGCTAAGTACCTACGTCAACTGTGACGCCCATTAACTAACGTAGATTATCTATAACAATGAAAACGAAAATGAAATTGTATTTTTATTATTTTTCACAGGATCTACACCCATTTCTATATTGAGAATAATTTTATAAAAAACTGGAAATTAAAAATTAAATTGGAAGTGCCAAACGTGAATTAATAACTTCTCGTGCTGCATTGATTATGACCAATCGTCTTTCGATTTTTCACTCACTTTTAATGCAGTTTTGATTCATTAAAGTTAGTTTTCGTTACTACTTTCGTGAGTTGAGCTAATTTTTAACACACAGTTATTCGTTTAGAAGATTTTGTTGATGTTTATAATGCAACTTAATAATGATATTTAATACACGGTTACTAGTTTTTTGTGGTGGTTTTGTACCAACATATATGTATTTCTCTTTATATTCAATTTCTTTTAAAAAATACCAAAAAGTTGAATTATAAAAATTTTGTTTGTTTAGTTGAGATAAATATTTTAACTTTTTTTGCTAATTTCTATGAATATATGCTTGTTTTCGAAAAAAATATATGGCACTTAGATATTTTATATAAAATTCCACATTAAATGCTTGCCAAAATATGTTTTATTTAAAATAAATGTTTTTAATAAACATAAAAGATATACATACATATGTATAATTTGGTATGCGTCTCTTTTATCAAATGTTCACACAAACACACAACTTGATTTTATACGAAGCTGAAGCTTATTTTTATGGTAATTTAAAAAGCAGCAAAGAAAATTAAAAAAAAAAACCATTGACCTTGATTTTTTGTTTCAATGAAAGATGTTAGAAAGAAAATTCTTTATACGTTTTTCTATTTTTTTTATTTTTGTGGCGAATGAATTTCGCAAATGAATAACAAATGTATTTAGTATACGCATCTCTTTTGGTTATTAACCCCAAAGAAGACAGCAAAGCATTAAGAAATAATTTATTGGCATACTTATGTATGTTTGTATAAAAAAGTAGCCCACAAGCTTTCTTATTTACTATATAGACTATGTGTGTGATATTTTTATGAATTAAATACATTTATAAATTAAAATTCTTAGCCAACGCTATTTGTTGTTTCTATATTTGCTGCCGATTATCTTGTTTTGATGTGCATAAACTCAGACTCAGTTTTCTGATTTTTTTTTTTTACTTTCTTTAGAATAAATTACTCAATACATTAGTATTACGTATTTAAGTTTTCATACGCCAGCGCATCAAATATTTATTATCGCATTTTTCACACCCTGTGTCATTGAAAATAGCGATTGCTAATCGGCTGCAACACCTAAACCGATTACGCATACGCCCTGTTGCACCCCGCTATGCAAGTCATGCTGCTCACAGCCGAACGATCAACGCATTTGCCACTTCATTCTTCGCTGTGCAGCAACTTTCGTTTTTCTATTGAATTGCGTAAAGTTTATTGTTTACATTATATTTATTGCTTTTTTTTTGTTTTTCATGTATTTTTTGCTATTTATTGGTTGCATTCACTTTAAGTAATTTGTGAACGGAAGATGCTTCATATACATACATACATACATACATACATACATGCATACATGCATACATATCAGAGATGATGATGAGGCGCTATTTTAAATTAAGTTCCACTTTTAATTTTTAATTTTTGTTATGGAAAATTATAGAAAAATTATAGAAAATTATACTATAGTTAGAGGAAAAAACTAAAGGCACATGAAAGAAGTAGGTGAAAACATATTTATATATATTTTTATAATTTCTTTCAAACCAGTTAGTGAAATCAAAAATAAAAAATTCAGAAAATTTTAAGCTTCTATTCAATTATTTCGCCGTCAATCGCTTATACGGTTACATATATTTAATATATTCCCCATTAATTTATTTAAGCCGAAAATTAGAATTTGTGTAAAAAGTGCAGTTATTTCTCAGTGGCAATTGTTGTCTTTCACTTAAAACTCGTTTGATAATATCAATTGTTCGCAATAATTTTAATTTTTTTTCACATCTTATCGCAGTTAAAAAAATCACTTAAATGTCTTGTATGAGAAAATAGTAGAAAGTTGTGAGTAATGTGGGAGTTGCTATTGTTTGAAAAAATTTTGAATAAAACGAGAAAAAAATTAAAAAATTATAGCGCTAATATGTAAAAATAACAATATATGGGATTGACGCTTGACAAAAAAAAAATTGAAAAAGTAATAATAAAAAATATTAAATAAAAATAAAAATAAAAAATAAGGAAAAAAACGATATAATAATAACGACAAAATAATTTAGAGTATATTCTAAATATGCTTATTGGTAAATATTCATGATTTGCTGAGTATATTTAATTTTTGCTTTTAATTAATGAATTTCGGTTTAATTTTGTTTTAATTATATTACTTAATAATTATATTACTTCTATATTATACTGTTTTGCAATACAGTATTTTTTATTTCGTTTTAAAAATGTTTTATATTTTATTTTCAATTATCTCAGGAGGTTATTTATTGTGCTAGTTCCTATTCGGCATTTTATTTATTGTGCATTTTAAAAATTAGTATTTATTATTTTATTACATTTATACTGGATTTGTTTATCTAGGTATTTAGCTACATTCTCTAAATTTTTTTTTAAATTTACCAAGTTTATTAATTAATTATCCTTCGTGATATTATTATTTTTTTTCTTATTTATTATTAATTTTTAATATTAATGATATTTACTTTTTTAGGTTTATTTATATTGAATTTACGTATCTATGTAATCAGCCACATATATGTACATATGTATTTTTTAATGCAAGTGACATTATTTCATTTTTTTTAATTTGATTATAAACATATGTACAAGTGTAGATAAATACATTCGTACATATTATTTAATTTTTATTTTTAATATTTTCTTTCAATTAATTATGTATATATATATATATATATATATGTAAGTCTGTATAATCAGTTTATTTTAATGCCCTCTTTGCGCGCCATGCCATACTCAACTTTCAACTCTCATTTGCATAATTTTTCCTCCATCTCCGTCTTAACTTACCACCACGAAACGCAGAGCGCCCAATTCATGCGAAACATCAGCCATATTTACTGTTGCCTATGGAATTTTTGTTTTGGTTGCTCAATCAACTAGTTGCAGTAACGGTTCTTTGATTGCTTTTCTAGACTTTGGCCTCTGCGCGCTTACAGCTAACGAAAATCTGGTTTTGTTTTTTGTCTTCGTTGCGTTGAGCTTTCACACAATTCAACCCAAAATTAATGGGAGCGACACACAAACAAACACACGCCGAAAGTAATGTCAATTGATTGGCGCGCACGCACTTCTTGTAACTGCACACGACGAACGCCTTCACGCGAGTGAGCCAGTGAACGAGTAATCGACGAGTGAAGCCAACAGCGAACTGTTTTTTATTTGCTGTTTTAGTTCTTTAGTTTTTTACTTTTGTTGCCGCAATGGAATGCGATTGAATTCTTGCAATTTTCTATTAAAAACTATGAAAAGCAGGTTTCTTAAATATTTTTAATTTTATTTTTTTTTTTTTCGTTTGTTTCTTATTTTTGCCGTTTATTTATAATTGCTTTATATAATATGTATGTACTCCGTGTGCAATTTCCTACAGAATTAACCGTTACACGTTAAATTATTTACGCGCTCGTCAGTTGTCTGCTTAGAACTGTGCACTTTTCTTCCACAACCGACTGTAATTTTATTTCTTAATTTTTCTTCACTTGAAATTTATTTGCGTATTTTAGTGAATATTTGATTTGAATTTTTTCTTATATGTATGTAGATATGTGTGTGTTTTTGTTGATCTTTAGACGATAGTCGCTTTTCAATTGCTCGAATTCATGGTGTTGCCTTAGGTTTTTATACGCTGATGAATGTGAAAAGTCCAATAACAATAAAAACATTCCCGCAAAAGCATCTACGAAATGTGCTTGAATTGAATGAGTGGCAAGCAGCGAGCACCGAGCAGCAGCGCAGCGTTGGCAATAGCTAAAAGAACAACAATGCAGCATGTATGCGAGTACTAGTATTAGCCAAAACAATGGCAAGAGTTCACACACTCTCCGCTCGTGTTTTCTTATTCGAAAATTTCACGCCGTCTGCTGTCTTCGCTGACGGCTGGCTGTTGGCAGCACAGTCTTCGATGTTTCATTATGCGGCTGCTCAGCTTGCTGGCGTTGTCGTCTTCGTTTGTTTGTCTTTTCGTTTGTTTGTTTAATTGTATGTGTGAAAGTTATATTTTTGAATGAGCACTTTTGGCTTCTCATTTGAATTTTCCGCTGCCTTTAGGTTTTGCTCTATTTTCCAATGGGAAAACTACAGTTTTAGTTATGTCTAGCGGAATACCCATACTAGTTAAATATATAATACATATATACATACATATATATGTGTGTAAGTACAATTAAGTAGTTGTAGATTTGTATGAACATATGTGCGATGCAGCTGTATGTACTGTCACAGTTTTGATTTTAATTTTATTTCTTTATTTACCATAGCCTTGCTTCTTCTAGTGTCTTCTTTCCACTTGCCCTCAGGAATTTACGGTACTTTGTGTAATAATTTCACTGTTAGTAGGTGGTGAAACGGGGGGAAAGAAAGTCCAAAAAGCATTTTAATTCAGCTCAATAAAATGGTACTAAATTTGGTGGAATGAAAAATGCAAAAAAAGGAAGAAAACGAAAAAATAAAAAAAAAATAAAATAAAACCAAAATCAAATAGATTTTAATATAACGATATAAAATAACATAAAATAAATATAAAAACAATTTTAATTTGAAAAAAATAAAATAAATACATTGAAAAACTATATACATATGTATCATATATGTATATACATATCTATCATATATACATACATTACAAATATACATTCATATGTATATATAAAATAAATTAAGAAAATTGAATAAAAATCATAAAGTAAAATAAATGAAAAATAAAATAAATAAAAGTCAAAGAAATAAAATTTAATTAAAATTAATTAGTAAAATTGAAAGAATTATTTTAAAACAAAGTATATTCAAATCACATAAAATATAATAGAGCCAATAAAATTAAATAAATTTTAATGGAATATAAAAAATTAAAAATTAATATCTAAATAAATAAACAAAACAAAGTACAATAATAAAAATTTAATAGATTAACCAAAATAAAAAAATTAGTTTAAATTAAATTTAATATAATTAAACAAAAAATGGAATAAATTAAAACAAAATAATAAAAACTAATATACTTTTGATAATTCAAAATACATAAAAAAAATATAATGTATGTACATTGATATAAGTATGTATGTATATACACATATATATAATATATATAATTGGCGCTTTGTAACCGCTGATGCGATTTTCGGCCGAGCTACTCCTCCAATGTGTGGCTTTGCTTGTGTCTTGATGTTTTTCCAACAAATGGATTGACGGACCTACAGTTTATACTGAGCCGCCTCCGAACGACTGATTGTTTTTTTTACGAAGCACCTTTATTTCATGTCTGAAATATACTCGGAGGGGTGGACATTCCCTGCCGATGGGCGACCGCAATTAGAATATTTAATTTAATTTTTTATTTAAATTTATTTTCCAATACTTTTGGATGTTGGTGGCACCGTGATTTGAACCCGAGCCTTCCGAATGTCATTACGCAACGCTCATAACTCGGCTACCGCGGCCGCCATGCACATATACATACATATCAGTTATAATGTTATGCCATCATTGCTCAGTTCAATAACGTTCAATGCGTACTGAATTCATTGAATTGCCTGCATACATACATACATACATACATACATACATATAACATTAGGTGATTCCATCGATCATTGCATAAAGCGATCATGCATTGGGACGTGAGGCCACACAATTTTCCAGACAGATTCACTTCAAATGCGTTGCAATAAGAAAATCACAGAAAATTGTTTATTTCACTATGGATTTATTATGCAGCTTGACATTTATAGCATTTTTGATTTGATAACGAAAAACTGCTAATACATATATGTATGTATATTGTTGTATGTGCGTATGAGTTATGTGCAAATTGTGTAATAACGATTTATGCAGAAGCGGAAATAACAGAAAATGTGGAAAGTGAAAATTGAAATAAAATATATTATTAACCAATAGAAACTTTAAAGAAAATTTTCCAAAAAATTTATATTTGCGAACCACTGTGCAAAGCGGTTTGCTTGTGGTTTATTCTATTTTACTTGTTTTTAATAGGCATGCGTAATGGGGTTTTACTCTTTCGAAAAGTTGTCACCACACATATGTACATAAATGCCTACACAAAAATACATACATATAAATGTTCAAATTCTGAGTGCACAAAAATTCGAAGATGGAATGTTTTCTGAAACAGACAGGAATGGGTTTTATAATTTTGAAAAAAAATTTAAAAACACATTTTTCGAAAATTTTTTAAAGGAAAGCTTTTTATACTATATTTATTAATTTTTTTATTCCTGTTTTATTTTCTCAATTTGTTCACCCAGCACCACTTCCCATAATTATTTGCTTCATTTGACGTTTATCAACAGTTCTTCTTCTTCGACCTTACCTCAATTTATCTACTCCACTTCCCCAAAAAGTTAATAATTATTTAAAATTTATAAATTTCTTTCTAGCATTTTCTAGAGAATCATTATAAATTCCTTCAAGCACATTTGCAGCATTTTCATCCGTTTACCAACAACTGTTAAATGACGTGCGGACGCAACACCCGCCAACAGCTGATTATGACAGCCATGAAGAAATTATTGTACAAAGTTGAATATTTATGATAAATTTATGAAAGTTCATAATTAAAGGGAATCGCTCGCATCTGCCTATTGTCGTATTGTACTTACATTTGTACATATGTATGTATGTTTGTGGCACATTAATTAATAAGTGAAAATATTGCACAAATGCAACAGAGAGGAGAAATTAATTAAATACTCGTACACACATGTGCAGCAACTGATCTACATAATTGTACATATGTATGTATATATGTATCTACATATGAATATAAATAATGTGAAAAAAATAAATAAATAAAAATCGTGCAAGTGCCATACATAAATTTGTGCAGATATTTGAATCACTTGGAAAATCCGTAATTTTAAAGCGAAATATGCAGCATGCGTACATGCGTACATATTTTATTTCCCATACAGTAATTCAAAAATATTTTCAGTTTAACTGCGATACTATTTATTGGTTCAGAAGCCTTTTCCTCTTGTTTTGAAGATATTCTTCTAATTGGCAAAGAAAATGCTTAAGCCGAGTTCACAATAGCTCATCTGTCATAATTACATTCTCGCAGGGGCACAAAATAGCCCAGAACACGTTCTTCAGTCCAAATAATTGATCATTACAAACCCATGCACTCCGCGAAAAGTTTAATTATCATGTAGAGAAGCGATAGATATGGTGCTGCGAAGCGTCATTTCGGTTATCGACTACAGCACGGCAGCTTTTCTGCACTTGGCGGCACTTATGGTGCGCTTAAGCTGAATTAAATAATGACCGGCTTTGCTTTAAATGTCGCCAACTCGTTTATAGAAAAACTGATTTCAGTGCCGGCTCACGGCGCTCTCGAGTGTTACCGCAAAGCCGTTAAAATTGTGCAAATGAGACGGATAGGTATGCCTTTGGCCACTTGTCGTCTTCCCATAAATCTTGTTGCCCTGACAGATGGCAGCGTTAATCGTGATTAACAAATTTGTATGTGACAGATATCAGTGATGGATGAAGTTAGCGAACAGCTGTTTAGTATTTTAATAATCAAAAAAAAAACAAAAATTTTGATCGAGAAGAAAAATGTTAAAGAAGAAGAAGAAGAAAAATGTTAAATACCACTAAAATTAGCTTTAACCTTTTTTTACCCAAGACCACAAATGCAGCTGCAATTTTCAAAAATGGTATTTGCATTTCCACGATTCCATATTTTGCAGAGTTCTCTTTGAAGTTAGAAACAAAGTGGCTGTTACTGCAGCCCAAAAACCACCAACAACCTAACCTAACCTCGAAAATTTCGCAAAATGTACTATAATTATTTAGTATAAGAAATTAAAAATCTGCACTGAAATTCAATATGCAAGAACTCACATTCAATCAGTGCTACCAACCGTTAAATGAGGAATCACTCGGCACAAGCTAATTTAATTTTAGAAAGGAAATATGTAGAAAATAAATGACAAAAAGCGCATTTAGTACATAATAAATACAATGTAAATTTGTACATAAATACTATGTATAAGAAATAAATACATGCCACTTATATAAATCACTTATGCATATACATATGTATATATTCGGCGGTGTATATTATATTTACTTTTTGGCAGCAGTTGATCCGCCGCAGCAAAGGGCGCGTCCGTCATTTCACGGCTTGCGCTCAGATGATTCTCGCCAACGCTACGCCACATTTAGACACGGACCAATTTTTCTTATTACTTTTGTATGTACGAGTAAATCAAATTTTGCACATTAATCACATTTGAGTGAGTGTTGAAATAACGGTGACTATTTCCATTGCAAGAAAAAAAAACCGTCTTACTTACATACCATTCAACAACAAAATAAATAAATATTTTTACTAATTTCTGCATTCAATTTTTATGGCTAGAAAATTACTGTATTGACGCATTCGAGTATTTAGCTGCGGGCGGGCGTTATGTTTTTCTATCGCTGCACGCCTTTCACAAAGGTGACAGTTGCATTTACCGTCGCCTGTCGCCTGTCGCCTGTTGCTGGTTTTTGTTTTTTGTTTTTTATTATTATTTACAAAATTTTCTAGACAAACAAAAATTATTTTCCAAATTTTCTCCGCTGAATTA